GACTCGATTGCTTCAGAGCGCATCATGATGATGCCGCCTGGTGTTGTGGCAGTCCTCTTGTTGTTCTCAAGAAACCACAACCACGTCGCAGAATCGCTTCTTGCGGTAAATGAAGATGGCAAGTACAAGCCATGGGATAGCCTTGATGAAGAGGGCAAGAAATGGTAAGCCACTCCATGATCCATAGCCCTAGATCAAATCTAACTGAAGCGTATAGGCAAGACGAGGACATTTTCCAGATCACGCGCAACATCAACGTTGGATTCTTCGCGTCAGTTGTGCTCAGAGACTACGTTGCTGCTATTCTCAACACCCCACGAGCCAACTCTGAATGGTCTCTGGACCTTGGCAAAGAGATCAAGGGCAAACATGGACGTGTTGAGCGCGGAACTGGTAGCCATGTCTCTGTCGAATTCGCCGTCCTGTACCACTGGCACGCAGCTCTAAGTGCAGCAGACGACAAGTGGATGGAGGACATTATCAGATCTGTATACCCTGATATACGCCACGTTGACGATGTCACTATCGAGATGTTTCACAAGGTCATGAAGGTCTACGGCCATGATCTCATGAAGAAGCAGCCCAGCGAATGGACGTTCGGAGGCCTTGAGCGAGGCCCCGACGGCAGGTTCAATGACTATGACATATCTGAACTGATCAAAGACTGTATAGAGGAGCCTGCCCATGCGTTTGGTGCGCATGGCACGCCCGCCAGTCTAAAGGTTGTTGACCTGATGGGCCAGTTGCAAGCGCGTGAGATGTTCAATGTTTGCACACTCAACGAGTTCCGTCGCTATCTGAACCTGAAGCCGTACGATACATTTGAAGACTGGTGCTCGGACAAAGAGACTGCCCGCGCTGCAGAGCTCTTGTATGGCCACATGGAAAACATGGAGCTATACCCTGGTTTGATGGCCGAGTGCACCAAGCCAGCTATGCCGGGAAGTGGTGTTTGCCCTGGCCAAACCACAGGCAGAGGCATTTTGGACGATGCCGTAGCCCTTGTTCGCGGTGACCGCTTCTTGAGCTACGACTTTAACAGCAACACCCTGACAAACTGGGGTGCTGCTCTTTTGTCCGAGACAACTCCTGGCGCCTATGGTGGTGTTCTCCCCAAACTGATTTTCCAAGCTCTCCCCGGTGGTTTCAAGGGCACATCGAGCTATGCTCTTCTGCCGTTCTACACACCCAAGGCTGCTCAGGGTATTCTTAAGGGTAACGGTGTTCTCGACAAATATGATACCTCTCGTCCTCCGAGTGGCTACGACATCGTCAGCGTCCAAACCCAAGAAGGCTGCAAAAAGGTCTTCGAGGATCGAGACTCTTTTGTTGTCATGTACCAAGCTGCAATCCGCAACTGTACTGCTGGACATGACTTCATGATCGGATGGGACGAGGAAAAGAAGCACAACGAGCGATCCAACATCCTCCATAAGGTGTTCTTCGAAGAGGGCTTTGAGAAGAACATTAATGAATTCTTTACCACAAACGTGCGAGATCTCATCAAGAAGAACTCGCTCAAGGGTGCAAAGGGTAGGATGAGCATCGACATCGTACGCGACGTGACCAATATCACCCCCATCTTGTGGCTTGCAGAACGCTTTGCACTTCCACTCAAGACTCCGGAACAGCCTCGTGGTTTGTTGTCTGTTCACGAAGCTTTCATGGCATACTTGGTACTCTGTAAGTTGACATCCACCACAAACGTTATATCACATTACTGATAGCTGCACAGTCATGTATCAATCCTTCAACATTATGCCCCACAACGAGTGGAAGCTTCGTGCTGGCGCCATGGCAGCTGCAGCGCCTCTTCGCAAAATCTTCGAGACGCACCTGAAGACGCAAACCGGGCGTCTAGAAACTGTTGTGGACTGGATGGCTAAGGGTTCTGCTTTCGAAGTAGGCCCACATGCTGATCGCATCTATCATGCCTTGGCCGATACCAAGCTCCCAATTGGTGACCTTGTTGGTGACTGCATCGGTATGGGTGCCCCTGTAGCCGGAAATCTGACGCAACAAGCTTCTCTCCTCATTGATCTCTACCTGCAGCCCGAGTACGAGCAGTACAAGAAGAGGATCGTAGAGCTATCCCACATGGACCCCAAGGACTCTGATCGTGAACTCCAGGGTTTCGTCTACGAGGGTATGCGCCATGTTGGTGTCGTACCCGGTCTCCCCCGTGTTGCAACACGCGATGTGACCGTCCAAGATGGTGTCCGCGGCCCTGTCACCGTCAAGAAGGGTCATACAGTGCTCATCGCTACCTCCAAAGCTGCCATGGATCCTCTCGCTTTCCCCGACCCCGAAATCCTGAACCCTCACCGCCCATTCAAGGAATACACTCTTCTTGGCCACGGACTTCACTTCTGTTTCGGCGCACGCCTCGTCGGCCCCTCACTTGCATCCACCCTGCGTGAGGTCTTCAAGCTACCTAATGTACGTCGTGCACCCGGTAAGCCAGGCCGATTCACCACTACAGAGCACCATCTTGCGGGTATTACCATGCGTCATTACCTCGATGGAACGAGTAAGGAAAGTCCCATTCCGACATCTCTACGACTGCATTATGACAGTGAGCATACTGCTGTAAATGGTGTCAACGGACATATGAGTAACGGCCATGCCAATGCTGGTGGAAGGAACGAGTATGGCAACGCATACACTATTGCACCTTAATCGGTTTAGGTGTCACTGCGTGCACTGCCAATGGAATAGATAGCCTTGATGGACCGTTGAGATGTATCCAAGAGGTATGCAGTGCTTTTGCGCTGCAGCAGGACCAGTGATTCGGAGAAAAAAGGTGTATGGAATGGCAAAAAAAAGCAAAAGGATAATGACAATTGAGGAAAGGATGTGCATCTTAATGAAGGAAAGAAAGCGGGGCCTTGTGAACAGAAGTTTGTTTTTCTTGATACCACATGCGACAGTGTGTTTTTTCTTTTCCTAATTAATGAGAAAAGTAAAGTGACAGCATTTCATCTTGACATACTCATATGCCGGTACCGATCACCAGATCAACAACCAAACCTCTTGAAGAACTATGACTGTCCCGTAACGTCAAGACATGGACGAAACAAAAAAAAAGAGAGAAATAAGATAGGCAATGCCGACAAACCTACCGATTAAACAAAACAAAACAAACAAGAAACATGCAACGCAACACAACGCACACAACGAAGAAGAAACTCGAAACGCCCCTTTCTTCTTCTCAAAAGATCGCTCGTGACGAAGTACATCCCTCGTGACCTCTCTCGTGTCCCGTCCCCCTACCCATGTCCTTGCCTACCACCTGAACCCTCCACTCAAACCAAACCCCGAAAAAAAAATAGACATCTCGTACAAGGGCATGGCCAAGTTGAAACAAGGTTACTGCCCAGTTTCCTAATACAAGTTAGCAAAAAAAAAAAAACAAGTAAGGGCAACTAAGTAAACCAAGTTACGATTCCCCATGCCCAAACAATAAATCCTACTTTACTTACTAACCCTCGAATCACTCAATATCACCATGCACGTGACATCCTCCCTCTCAAACGGGTGCCCTTCCCGCCAACATTCCCGTTTCTCTCACGCAACAAAGCCTTGCATTTCTTTACCCCCCCCAACTAGGGATCTGTGAGAAATGAATAGAGAAAGAAAACAGATAGTTTGTACAAACACAAGTGTCCATGATTGATGCTGTATTTTTTTTTGGCGGGGGAAGGGGGGGAAGGGGGCTTAAAAAACAACAAGAAAAGATTTATGAAGAATGGTGAGAAAAGGAGAGGAAAGAATTTGTTGCGTGAGGAAAGAAAAGGGGCAAAAAGGTAGGAATATGGGGTGAAGGATTTCGGAATCATTAGGGATTTGAAAATGATTTTTTTTTAAAAAAAAAAAGGGTGTTTTGATCAAGTAGAGAGAGAGAGAGAGAGCTAATGTATAAATGGTGAGAATGGTAAGCCACATACATATCAAGTTATTTGCGAGTTATTTGTTAAATAATAGTAATACTGCACTTTGTTCCCTTTGGTAGTACTTTTTTTTTAAAAGTACTATGTGATTTCAAAGTTCACCGTATGCTCAAGCACGATCCAGACCACTTCACACAACACACGACACAAACATGAGAGAAAAATGTTTTGCAAGTGTCATAAAGCATGCATTGTACAGACTGCTTGTGTTGGCAGCCCATGCTAGTCTATCTAACTAACTAATCATCTGGCTCGAAACTGTGCTTTTATGAGATTCCTTTCACCCAAGGTCACTTGGGGGTCCAGGGTTCGCATGTCAGGACACGGGGAAATGCAAACCAAAAAACCATCTTTTTCGAGTCCCACCGCCGAATTGGCCTTGAAAAGACAGCCACCATGACGGTTACCACAAAGAACCGGGGTATATTCCTTCCGTAAAAAAAGGTTGGGTCGTGGCTAAACCTTCATGAACGCCATCTATGCAGCAAACTTTTTCGTCGTCCCGAACAGCCATGCTGCTACCCTTCGCATGTGAAGAGATCGAGAGACAAGAGGACGACGAGAAAGACATTGTCGCCAAGGGATATGACCGGGAAAAGGAATCACTTTTGTCGTAAATAAGGAAATGCTGACTATGGTCATCCGCGTGTGGATGACTCGGAAAGCGAGAATCTATAGCTCCCCAAGCAGCATGCTTGCAGAAAGAGCGAAGGCGTGAAATGTTCGTAATGCATGCCTCTTCGAAAAAGGCGAGAGTCCTGCCGTCTATGCTCGAGCTCGACGGATGGCCGTCGAAGGGTATCGTATGCGAGAAGAGCTCGAAAATAGGCAGAGCCGCAGAAAAACAGTCGCTGTCTATATGCTGATTGGGGTATAAGATTCCAGATTTCCGCATCGATCCGTGATAACCGGAAGAGATTTGCAGAAACAAAAACAAAAACTGAAAGAAATGAAAGGAAGCCGTCCGTAATAGCAACACGAAGACCTAGGATCTCGTGGAAAAGAACCATGCCCCAGGCTGGCTATATCGTGAAGCGGTGGCATGTGCATTTACCACCAAGAGTTGCCGCCGGGGCCAGATGGGTTGCCGTAGCCACCACCACCATAACCACCGCCACCTCCGTAGGCAGGGGCTGGAGCAGCATAACCGCCACCGGGGCCGCCGCCGTAACCACCTCCTCCATAGCCTTGAGAGCCGCCCCAGCTGCCGCCGTTGCCGCCGCCGAAGCCACCACCACCGCCCATACGACGGACGTCACGGGTGGCAGCATTGCCACGGCCACGACCACCTCCACGTCCACCGCGACCGCCACCGAAGCCAGAGCCCTCGCGAGCAATGGACTCGAGGAAGCTAGGAACCTCTTGGTTGGCCTCCTTCAGCAGCTCGATGAGATCACGGACGACACCGCGGTTACCACGGTTGAAGAATGCAGTTGCGATACCAGTGTTTCCAGCACGTCCGGTACGACCGATACGGTGGACGTAGTCGTCAATGTCGGTGGGCAGGTCGTAGTTGACAACGTGCTTGACGTTGGGGATATCCAATCCACGAGCAGCAACAGCAGTCGCGACAAGAAGAGGGCAGCGTCCAGATCGGAACATCTCGAGGGCCTTTTCACGCTCACGCTGTGTGCGGTCACCGTGAATAGATGTGGCAGGGAAACCTTGGTTGATGAGGAAGTCGGACAGTGAGTCGGCCATGCGCTTGGTCTCGACGAAGATCAAGCTGAGACCAACACCGTGGGTGTGGAGAATGTCCAGGAGAACGGAGCGCTTGTCAGCGTCCTCGACATACTCAATCTTCTGGGTAATGTTCTCAGAAGTGGAACCAACACGACCGACTGAAAGAAAGATGTAGTCCTTCAGGAAGTCACGGGCGAGCATCTGGATGTCGCGAGGGAAGGTGGCCGAAAACATGAGTGTCTGGCGGCCAGCGGTGGGAGGCATGTCCTCACCCTCAACAATGCGGCGGATCTGAGGCTCGAAACCCATGTCCAACATGCGGTCAGCCTCATCGAGAACAAGGTATTTGATGCTAGCAAGTGAGATGCGGCCGCGCTCGATCAAGTCGACCAGACGACCGGGCGTGGCAACAAGCAAATCACAGCCGCGCTCAATCTGGCGGAGCTGGGAACCAATGTCGGCACCTCCGTAAACGACACAGGGGCGAACCCAAGAACGGTAGGCAAACTTGCGGGCCTCGTCGAAGATCTGGGAGACCAGCTCACGAGTGGGGGCGAGGACAAGGGATGTGGGGTAAGCCTTGCGTTGACGGCCGTAACCGCCCTGTGCTGAAGGTGGAGGAGGAGCGGGTCCGTTTTGGAAGGCCTGAGCGAGAATGGGAAAGAGGAAACCACCAGTCTTTCCAGAACCAGTCTGAGCACAAGCCATGAGATCACGGCCGCCCATGACAATGGGAATGGAGTACTTTTGTACTGGGGTGGGAACCTTGTATCCGGAGAGCTCGATGTTGCTCAGCAGGTGGTCATCGAGGGGCGGGTTCGTGAAGCGTGTGACGGGCTCGGGAACTCCCTGACCGGAAGCCTCAACGGGAATGTCGTCGTACTTCTCAAAGTTGATACCAGTGTGCTGCTTCGATGGGTCGTTGGGGACACCGAAGAGGTCACGCTCGAGACGTGGGTTAGGCGGGCCGGGAACGTGCTTGCCATCTTTCCAGGCGCCATCACCAGATCCACGAGCGTTGCCGCCACCGCCACCAGACTTTCCATAGCCATTAGATTCGAAGCCGCCGCGCTGACCGCTGCCTCCCCATCCACCACCAGGGGGACCACGAGGAGTGAAGTTAGGGGCGTTGGCCCAGCCGCCACCGCCACCGTTGTTGCCGTTCATAGGAGGACCTTGGCTGCGATCTGTTAGTCGACGTTCACTTGAGGTGTGTGAACGTTGTACTGACCCTCCTGGTCCCCAGGCGCTGCCACCGAGACCACCGTTGCCACCACCGTTCATCATGGGCGGGCCATCCATAGGTGCAGGGCCTCCAGGGCCTCCCTGAGGGCGGCCGCGAAGGTGAGGGGGGATATACGCAGAACGCTCGCCGCTGAAGCCGTTCTGGGGGTTGTGCTGGGAGTCGTTGATGTTGAGACGACCCATGTCAAGTTGTTCAGCCATGATTGCGTTGAGATTGGGGATGGCTGATGACGTGTGTTTTCGTGTTTACGTGTGGTTCGATAAGTCGAAAATTACTGTATAGCAGACTTCGGCTGGCTCGACGGTGAGCGACAGACGAAAAGTAGCAGTTCTAAGTAACGAAGTTGGTAACTCGCAGGCGGGTGCCTGATCTTCGTTCTGTCAGGAAAGAAGGGAACGCCTCTGTCCTGAAAAAAACGACAAGTAAAAGAGCGTGAAGGCCAAAAGAAAGGACTTCACACAGAAAATGTGATGGTGAGGTTGTGTAATACACACAGGAGGTTTTGAGAGTGGGTGGTGAGAGAGGAGGGAGATGGCAGCTAAGTTAAAAAAGCGTCAGAGAGAACCCTTTCGAGCTAGACCTGTTCGGGACTAGTTCGTGGGCGTCCCAAGATTCCTCAGCTCTGTGGCGAGTGCGGAGCGGTGAACGTCACAGCTGCTGTTGTACCCTGCACCACGTTTGCTTTTCCATGCACAGACGTAAGTATACGTTGTGACATATATTTGATGGTCAAAGATAACGGCCGATTTTCCCGGTGGTGTGCTTGTTCAGTGCTTGATAGTGCATGGCTGTGACAAAGTCGCCTCACGAAAATACATGCTCGCTTGCTTTTGCCACCCGCTGCGTCTCTCACCACACGTGAGGATGCCTCGTGCTTATCCAAAATCCTTGCATTGACATCAGCTCAGGAGCTGCGCATAGCCGGGAGTATGTATCCTCTGCTTACAGGAAATATCAAATTGCTTCCGTACATATCAAGTCCATTTTTTTAGTAGATGAAACTTGAACAGTTTAACTATGATAAGGGGGGATCAGACCACTAGACACATTCTGTAGCAGCACGCGAGAGACCATGGTACTGAAGATTATTATTAGACACACGCGCACTCAAGAAAGCATATCGCGGCATAGCATATCCCACTCAATAAAGGCACAGCCAAATAAACCGATAAATGATTCGTATATCATAGCGATCTATGCCATGCTTTTCTCTTTAAGGCCACCCTTTCTTGACCTCAGGAAAAGAGCGCAAGCCACGACAATAGCTACGATAAAGAAGAGCTTCTGACCCAGGGTCAAGCCATCTGTAGAAGCACCAGAAGAGGCCAGCCCCTCGAGTTTAGTCTTGTCAGCAGAAGCCTTCGGAGGCTCTGCAATGCTAGCGACATCATCGCCACCTTTTGACGATGTGACATCGAGGTTGTCGCTAGGATCGGCGGGTTCTGCATCGCCATATAAATCTTGAAAAGGGACGCACAATCAGCAATTGTCCAACCTAAGGGAGTTGACACAATAGCAAGAAATGCGTACTGATGTCTAGAGTTCCTCGTGAATACCTTCCGCTGGTACCTCGAGCTCGCCGCTCTTGGCAATCTTGACGGGCTTGACAGGCCTGTCTCCTGGAGCCTTCTGGACATTCTCGATCTTCTCCACAACGTCGTAACCCTCAAGCACTTGTCCAAAGACGACGTGCTTGCCATCGAGCCAGCTGGTGATGGCGGTAGTGATGAAGAATTGACTTCCATTTGTGTCCTTGCCCGCGTTTGCCATGCTGAGGAGACCCTTGCGGGTGTGCTTGAGCTTGAAGTTTTCGTCGGGGAACTTTTCGCCGTAGATGGACTTGCCACCGGTGCCTAGGATACGTTAGAACAATTCGCTTGCTACTCGGACATGGAGAGCACTTGCCATCGCCCTTGGTGAAGTCACCTATGTTGCTGTTAGTACCCAGTAATCTCTTAAAGAGTACATGAGGGGTGTGCACTTACCACCTTGGATCATGAAGTCCTTGATAACACGGTGGAAAGTAGAGCCCTCATAACCGAAGCCCTTCTCGCCAGTAGCCAAAGCGCTACAGTGTGGATTAGCTTGTGAAGGTGCAAAGCGGATTGTGGAACATCGTACCGGAAGTTCTCGGTAGTCTTGGGTACAGTCTTGCCGTAAAGGCCAATGACAATGCGGCCTAGGCTCTCACCATCTTGCTCAATGTCAAAGAAAACCTAACCCATATGTCAACACATTTACTGCCAGGGCTTGTTGCAGATACACACCTTGGAGGTGATCTTAGGGCTCTTGACAGCCTCAGTAGACTGGGCGAAGAAGACAAAAGTGATCGAGAGGATCAACAAAAGCGATATGACAGCTTTCTGGAAGGAAGCCATGGTGCCTGATTGAGGACTCGAAGGCAATCGAGGAATTGGCAAGGGTTAAATAGTCTAGGACACCCCCTGCGAAGATACAGTGAGCGAGGCGGTATTGAAACGTGGTGTTTTAGTGTTGCCCGCACTGTCGCACCTTAGCTGTGCCAAGTGCTTTGGTGCCCGAATTGGGACTAGTGCAACTGGAGAGTTCGAGATTGGTGTGGGCATGTTGCGAGACACTTCACAACACAAATTAGTTGTCGGAAGGAGCGACGCCATGGTGGGTTTGGAACAGCTGCTAAATCGGATAATGCGCAACTACTGACATGTTTAGGTGTTCATCAATGGCTTCAGCTTCACGGAGGCGACCCTCGTAAAACGCTCTCTCCAGTCGTTCTATGGCATCGGGCCTTCAGTCTCGCAGCGCATCATGGCAAAATTCCATATTCACCCGTGGGCGAAAGTAGGGAGCCTAAAGAATGCCACAGTCATGGATCTCACGGCGGAGCTGGCCAACATGAAGATTGAGAACGACTTGCGGCGGCAGGTTCAGGACGACATACGAAGATTAAGAGACATGGGCACATATCGGGGAAGGAGACATGCAATGGGTCTGCCAGTGCGCGGTCAAAAGACAAGAACACAGGTATGTGTGGTCTGGAAGATGTTGAGAGACAAGTTTGGGTGGTGGAGGAAGTTGCTAATGCCGACAGATTGCGACTGCACGACGGTTGAACAAGATCGAACGAGGTGGCACTGGAAGGGTGTCTATGTGAGGTGGAAGCAAACTTACACGTGTATTATATTGTACAGTCTGGCAGCACGAAACGGGGTTTACAGACTGCATAGAAGGAACATGATGACCAAACCGCGACCAAACACTCATGGATGCCCTTGACATACGCCAGACGCCCACCCTTGGGTGTCATGTCGTATCTGTGATGATGTTTGTGCAAAGATGTGGGCAATGACGATGTGCGTATCAACTGCACCCAACTCGCGCACACTTGGAAGGATGCGGAGGTGTCGGTTTGGGTAGCAAGACCATTTCAATCAACTTCCAGACGATACATACTTTGTGCACAGCAACGCGACAATGTCCGTTATATGGATACTACATATCCGCAGAGCACTGGGGATTTGCCTCACTAGAGCAATTGTGCTAGGACCATGGACATGATTTTCTGGTTCAGAGAGGCAACTGGGTGGTCTGTTGAGGCAACATGTGCGGGCGCGCTTTAATCTCACAGTCCCGATAAGGTATGATTGACAGGTCTCTTGGCACTGACAGTCGGGTGCAAGCATGCAGTATCGCGATATTGTCAGCTCGAATGTATGCATAACCTTCCATTCTGAGACGCGAACCATGGATCTCGGGGCTGCTGTAGACAGGAAACGGTCATCGGACCCAAGGAATGGAAGTAAGTTTGGGCAACTTGGGGATTGTGTCACCAACCCAGAGTCCGTGCAAGCCGGGATGACGACGACGATGATGCTGAGGAAATCAATGTTGGCATGCGCAGAGGAAGCGGTGCTGGCGTTGCCGATGAGATATATTTAGATGTGGGGAAGAGATATTTGTGTTGTTCTGCCTCAGGTTGAGACGTGGACTTGTCGGTGGGCATGGTGTTTCGACAGAGCTGGTGGTTGTTGGCGGAGCGGATATCAGGCGGAAGAAGCCGCGCCGTGGCATGGGTGAAGGGCTACCATGGGTGAAAGGGTGCAGCGCGTTGTTTCTTGTCGCACTCTTGTCCACGCACCCCGGGGTGGTACAGGCTCGGTATTGAGCCAGCAGCGAGAAGGAAAACGCGATGGGCCCGGCCTGTCTCAGGCTTGGTTGCATGCACCCCCTGATATACAGGACGGAAGGGAAGAAGAAAAGAAAGCAGGAGGCTGCGAAGGAAGCATGTGCACACGCTGCGGTGCAGTGGATGCAGAGCAGGCCAGGCTGGCCGGTTGGGGACTAGCGGGAGTGCTATGGGCGGCTCCCTGCAGCATGCTTCGCTCGAGCACAGCGGGGTTTCAGAAGCAGTCCAGCTTGGAACAAAGTCGTACGATTGCTTTTGCTTCCAAGCAACATGTGTTCCAGCAGCCACAAGCACCGCGCCCGTGACCACGCTCGCTGACTGTGTCCCGCTGCTATCTAACGTACCCGGCCGGCGGCCGTGTTGCAGAGCGGCACTTGGCCGGCTGCGGACGACGCCTAGGCTGCTTGCCGTCTAGCAGAGCACTCGCTCACCACTACAGCCGGCAGAGTCAGGCACACGGCAAGCATCGTGATTACGCCACCCCAGCGCGATGCATACTTACCACCCACATCCACGACTGATCGACGCCCATGCGGGGCTCCGTCTCATTTCGGCGCACACGAAAAGCTTCTTTGCAGTTTGCTGCCGTCGAACTCAATCCGTGCGCCCAACGCGCTCTGGCTGCACTGGGCTGAGCCTGGGCTGGGCCTGCTCCCTCGTGCTGTATGGGTGCCAGTGCCAGTGCCTGTGCCTGTGTGAGCGTGAGCGCGAGCGTGAGCGTCGTGGTGCGTGGGCAAGGTGCCAATTCCATTTCTCAGCACACCCTCCCACGCCCGTCATCCACACACCCTCGTCCAATGGCAGCCGTCCGCCCAAGAGGCCCCCGACTCGCCAGCAAATTGACTGCCCGCACCAGCGACAGCAGACAGCAGACAGCAGACCACGCGCACACTCGCCCGTCTGCTTGCGTCCGTCAGTGGCTGAAGCTCTCGTTGATAACGGCCAGGAAGCCGCTGGGCAGCCGCCAATCACCGTCACCCATGGCTCTCTCAGCCGCCTACACGGCGGGCACGCCGACCAGGATGCCCACCGGTCCAAGCACTTCTCAAACTTGAGCGGACGCAGCCTCGAGGACCCTCGGCCTGCTGATGGAGGCGATCGTGGAGACCAAGCGCCTCTCGCTTCTGCAGGAACCGTGCTAGCTCTCCAAGAAGAGGCGTCCATGTCGGCCGCTCTGTCCAAGGCGCCTATGCTATGGCGCCGAATGGGCGTCGACCTTGCGACGCTCCAAATCTCTTCTGCTGCTCTTCTACCCCCCCAGCTGTTCCTTCTGACTGACATTCGTCTCATGCTGCGCTGGACGCCCAGCTGCTGACGACACTGCTGCGCGCGCCAGCTGTGCACTCACCAGACACCCAACGGCCCCCCGAAACACGACTAATCCCCACTAACAGGCTGTTATACCGTCCCCCATCCCAGTCGCTCGGCTAAGCTGGTTTGAGAAGTATGAGGACCAATGCAGACATGCTTCAGGAAAGATCCATGGCGCATCATCTTCCGGAGCACAAACCCTCAATTTACCATTCTGCGTCTTCGCCGTCGCTCGCGAACAGCTTTCGCTCTCTTCGCGACGACTCGACGCCCTCCCACGACGTGCCCGCTGCGGCCACCCACCAACCCCAGAACCCCCGTCGCAAGCCAGTCCCGAGCCCTCTGTCACCCTCGTCCACCAGCTCCACCACTACCCCAATTCCCTCCAGAGCACCCTACCAAAACTCGCCCTATTACGACTCTCCACGCTTCGACGAGCCGCGCAGCCCCCGCGAGAAGCTTGACGCTTTGTTGGCCGAGGAGGAGCAGCACCATTCCTCGCCCATTCGCCCAACCAAGCCAGCGCATCCGCCTACACCACCCAACGTCCCCACTACCCACATCACCACCCAGCCCACGAGGCCCTCTGCGTATGCAAAGCTACGGCAAGTCTCGTCTCCCACGCTGTCATCGGCTGGCATCTCCCCGCCAACATCTCCCGTCATCATGTCTCCACAATCGCGGACAAATCGACCAGACACGGCAACGCCAACGGTACCCATCCGCAACCCCTCCATAGACTCGGCTGCATCTTCGCTTTCGTCGAGTGCTTCGCAGAACCGCCTTCCTGGCAACCATGCTCCCCGACCATCCCAAGACACAAGCACAGCCAATCCGCCAGACATGGCTGCCCTTGTAGCAAGTGCAGGCTCGCCCGAGGCTGCCATGATGGCTTTGTGGAAGGAGAAGCAAAATACGTCCAATCACAATGCACAGCTCTGGCGTTTGGTCGAGAAGCAGCGTGCCATGATCATTGGGCTGCAGAAGGATTTGGAGCGAGCATTGAAGGACAAGGACCGCTACCGCCGAAAGTTTAAGGAGTATGTCGAGCAGATGCCACCAGGTCCCGGTTCACTGCAAAAGTCAGATACCTTCAACTCTGTTGTAGACCGTGACCCCAGCGAGTCGCCCGTCACCAGTGAGCGACCCGATGAGTCTGCTAAATCCGGTGATGCCAAAATGGGAGAGTACAAGACCTCACCATTGACACAAGAACACCCGGCACCACACCTTATACCAGACTCACAACTGGCAACATCGCCTTCCCAATCTACCCCGTCGAATGAAACGTCGAGCGTGAACTCACCCACAGAATACTCTGTGCAACCCCTCAACCTCGCCACCAGAGGTCTCGGTCTTGACAGCGCCGTGCTCCAGCCTGTCGATGTCACTCAACCCTCAGTACAGGTTCCGAACCCAACGACACCCCCACAAAACGCCTCAGATGCAACGCTCGTTCCAGACACCTCGAATCTACAACCCCCAGAGATATCCCTCATCCAAGCCACTCCTGTTGTTGGCGGCGATGGATTCGAGGCATCCCCACGAAAGCCTTCACAACCTCTCCGCAAAGCTCCCCCAGCTCCCCTCAATCTCTCCAAACCCGTAACAACTAGCGCGCATCTCCACCAAGCCGTGCATGGTGACGACGTCGATTCCGACTACGACGATACATTGGAGGTGGATGAGATACCCGTGGTGGAACGGGGAAGGAGAAAGACTCGCGAGGAAGATGACAGGGTGCGGGAGGCCATGTATCTCAAAGACGAAGAGGCTCGAAGCAAGTCGAAAAAGAAGAGCAGTGAGAGCAAAAACACACAGGTGACACCATCTGAAACAGCGGAGAACAATCAGCCTCAGACATTCCCTGTGCCTCTGTCTCCGCGTCAGATCAATGCTCTACAATCGGGCCTTCCAATCTCTCCCCGACACCCACCCGCGAATTCGCTGAATGCTCTACTTAGCCCTACCAACTCTGACAGTTCTATGATGGCCAATCGAAGCGTTGCGTCGCCCCTCCTCAGCCCTGGCCTCCCGTCCAGCCCGCGTCCTACCGACCGACCTCTAGGATCACCGTTGCCGAGGAATCCCAAGTCATCACTGGCATCGCCGCCCATGTCACCGAGCCTTCTGAACCATTCAGGATCACGGACTGGCCAGCAACAAGTTCCCTTTCCACCAAACACGCCCCAGTCGTATCAATCTCCTCCAGTGAACCAGAACCAAAAGAATACGCAGTCAAGCAAAGAATCGTCAGGGGGGCTCTTGGCCGTGCCAGGAGCACAGACAAGTTCGGACTCAGGTTCAGGCAGTCCTACTTTGAACGACATTCCCGATGCAGAGCATGTCTATCGTGGCCTTGTGTCGGACCAGTACCCAGGGCTTTTGCTTCCTCCTAACGCTCTCCCGTCTATCCAGGTCAAGGTATTCTCATCCAGACTCCGGCCATCGCGCTTGAGTTTCTTAGCCCCAAAACCTCAGGAGGAGGACCCAGTCTTTATCCTTGCAATCTACGCCCGCTCCGACAACAAACAGTTATGGCGCGTAGAGAAGACCATTGCGACACTCCCCGCCCTGGACTCTCACCTAAGATCGCTTTGTGACTTCCAAGGGAAACTCCCAGATCGTGCTCTTTTTGGAGGTCATGCCCCTGCGAAGATCGATGCTCGAAGAGTTGCTCTTAACCAGTACTTTGACTGTGTCCTCGAGGCACCCACAGACGAAAGGACAGCACGTGTTGTTTGTGAATACTTGTCTGCCGATGTGATTGGTGCACAAGCAGGTGACAGATTAGCCCCGGAACCCACTCCTGGACCGGCTGTATCGACTGCCAAAAATCAGCGCAAGGAAGGCTATCTTACGAAACGCGGCAAGAACTTTGGTGGCTGGAAGGCACGTTTCTTCGTACTGGATGGTTCCGAATTCAGATACTTTGAGAGCGAAGGTGGCGCCCATCTAGGTACCATCAAGCTGCAAAACGCGCAGATTGGGAAACAGTCACAACAGCAATCCACACAGTCACCACAGCGAAAAGATGATTCCGAGGATAATCAGTATCGACATGCCTTCCTCATTTTGGAGCCAAAGCGGAAAGACTCTTCGAGCCTGGTTCGTCATGTGCTGTGTGCCGAAAACGACGAGGAACGGGATGCCTGGGTTGAAGCACTATTGCAGCATGTTGAGATCCAAGAGGAAACCTCGCCAACTGAGGCTCGCGCTCCTCCCGCCTCGCGTTCTCAGAAGCAGCAAGCCAGCCAAGATTCGACACGTTCACAACGGAGAGAGAGCCCTGATGTAACGGAACAGGACCGTGTACAAGGCCTCAGCTATGAAGATACAGTTGCGGCACAAGCCCCAATCCGCGGACCTAATCATCGAGAAGCACTGGGAGAGAGGCCTTCACGAGGGTCGCCCAAAGACACGAGCTTTCTACAAGATAGTTCTGGCCACTATCACTCCATCTCCGGTCCGAGCAATGGAACCCCCATCAAGGACGCTGAGAATTGGGGTGCTAGATTGACTCCAGCACCTACAGCCGCAAAGGACAAGAAACGCAGCATATTTGGGTTCAGAGGCCGTGGCGGCTCTTCGGATTTGGCACCTGTTCAAGTCAACACCCCTCTCCTCCAGGCACCTGTTGAGCATCGGATACCTCACAACCGCAGCATTTTTGGTGTTCCCCTCATGGAAGCAGTAGACTACACCCAGCCCGAAGGTGTCAATGTTCCTTTACCAGCAGTTGTCTATCGATGCTTGGAGTACCTCCGAGCCAAGAGGGCAGTAAGTGAAGAGGGCATTTTTAGGCTGAGCGGGTCGAATATTGTCATCAAAGGACTACGCGATCGGTTCAACACGGAAGGTGACATCAAGCTGCTGGATGGGCAATACTACGATGTCCATGCCGTAGCTTCGTTGCTCAAGTTGTATTTGCGAGAATTACCATCGTCCATCCTCACTCGGGAACTGCACTTGGACTTTCTCAAGGTGCTCGGTAAGTCACTGATGGGCTTTTGTGAAGCATAAGACATACTAACGCAGACTAGATATGGATGAACGAAGCAAAAAGATTCAAAGCTTCAATGTACTCGTACACAAACTTCCTAGACCCAACTTTGAGCTGCTAAGGCACTTGTCATCATTCCTCATTGAGATCATCGACAATTCGGCAGTGAACAAGATGACGGTGCGCAACGTTGGCATTGTATTTGCGCCCACGCTCAACATCCCGGCACCGTTGATCTCATTCTTCTTGACTGATTTCCCCGACATCTTCGGCACAGCTCTCGACGAAGCTAGTTCCCCAATCCATGAGATCCGAAATGACACGTCGTATTTGGGTGATGATGCGATTCGGTCTCCACGGCGGCAGATGTTTTCGGAGATCCCAACGCCTAGCTACAATGACACTAGCTTTCAGCAGCGAATGGACAGGCCAGGTCAACATTACCAAGGCAACAGTGCTCCAAACTATCCCCCTCCGCAGCCCCCTCAACAAAATCAACAGCAAATACAAATGCAACAGCAACTGCAGCAGCAATTGCAAAACCAGCAGGCACAGGGACAGTACAATGGATACGACTCTGGCTTTATTCCAATGAGGCCTACCTACGAAGTGCCAGCTTACGAGCAAGCATATCGATCTGGAGAGGGATACGGTAGCCTGAATGGAGCAGTGCAGTCTGGCAGTGCTCGAGAGCAACGACAGCGGAAGCGAGAGAGCGGGATGCTGCTCATGAACATGAACATGAACATGGGCGCGCCTCGCAAGGGTTCAACTGGGTCTAATCCACCTAATCGCGGAAACTACCAATACAATCCTCTAATGGTTCAAGAAGAGACGGCGTTTGACTGAGCAAGGCTCTGGTCAAGTTGCAGGACAATGATAGATGATGATGGATTTAGGTTTTTGTCTAATATTCTACCTTCTGGTTTGGTTTCTAATACCGGAGAACGGTTTGGATTCCTTTTTTGGTTTATTGCATAGGGTCAGAGGACCAGGGGTTACTAGTCCTCTCACTCGACGATTTATTGGCGCTTTCTTTTCTTTCACAGCGGTTAGACACATACCACTGGTCAGGAGGTGGAGGTTTTTTCAGCTTTATTTTTTTTCTCAAGTTTCCTTGCTCTCTGTAGATGGAGCTGTCTTGTCGTGCAACAAGATAGCTCAAGCTTGGGCGTTGGAGCCGGGCACGTTGTTTTAGTTGGCTTTGGTTGAGATATCCTGGTTATTTTTGTTCTCTGCTTGGTCTTGTAGCGCGTGTAAAGGGATTTCAAGTTGATGGTTTGGGCATGATAGCGTTTCTTATAGCGAACACATGGCAAAGGCTGTGTATATAAACACATGAAATTGTCTGTTCTGGAATCCATGATTCTGAACACCATTGTTGTTCTTGTTGTTGAATGTCGCAACATGATCAACGCCGAAAGGGCGTTCGTGATGCGATGGCGTACCATGGACGGAGCTGTGGGCCTTAGCGTCAGAGCTCGGGCTCACGATGCGACTGCCTCGTCGCCGCCATGGCTCTCCGTCTTCGCGATTGACATGCTGCCGTCGCTACTGAACCTCCAATATTCCCACATTTCCCTGCCTTCCTTATCCGTACCGACGTTGGCCATCTGAGGAGACGCAGCACGACTTCAGCGCGTCCCAGGGTCGATTCCATCCCCGTCTATCGCATCCCGCCGCGCATCCAACATAGACTTGAGACAAGCAGACAAAGAGCACCCTCACTTGGTTCACGCTATAACGTCTTCGCCATGGCTGACACGCCTGCTACTCCTGCGCCATCTGGAGCTGCTGCTTCTGCTACAGCCTCGACCCCAGCGACTGCACTTCAGCCCCCTCGCATTGAAGAACCCGACTCTCGCAACAGCCTACGGCACATTTTGGCTGCTGATCCGCAGATGGACGATGCAAAGCCTTCACCCTCGCAAGGGAACACGCCTGCCCCGGAAGGGAGCGAGGCTGGTGGTGATGCGCCCGAAGCATCCAAGCCAGCTACCGACAACGATCCAGCGCGCCCCTACTATACGGCCACAACGACTACTACTCGTCGTAATGCAAACGGGAGCGTGTCGTCCGTATACAGTGGCAACAAGATCAAGCACCTCAAGAAGGACGATGGCATACCGTTGTGGCGCAAAGACATTCAGTACGACTTCCTCAAGCTCGTCTTCGAGGACGACAAGCGCGTCTTCACCAAACAGTCAGACTCGACCAGCGGACATACCTTTGCCGACATCTACCTTGATGCTATGGCAAAGAGCAGCAAATGCAGCAAGATTCTGAAGGATAAGCTGCTGACAGAGCGCCCGGCCGCAATCAACATGGCCATGGTCTGTTTGTTGGTCAATGTCGGGCGCATGAACACAACACTGAATTGTAGGAAACCAGAATCCCCTCTATGCGCTCTTGTCTAACCTTCGACAGTCTTCCCCGAAATGCGCGCGCAGTTACGAACTTACCACTCGATCCCCTCCCTTCAAGCCCACCAAGACCCCAATGCCTACAAGCAGCTGCAAGATGCGCCGCGTCTAAAGTCTATCCTCAAGGGTGCTACCGAAGACCAAGAACAGCCCAGCACCATTGAGGAAATCATGGCCGCTACGGTTCCACGTACAAATCCTGTAAACCTCATCTTCGTCCTCTCGCAGTATGCGCCGAAAATCTCAGAGCTACACTTTTTCCCGCCACGCGACTTTTTCGACTTGGTCATGCGTTCGAACTTGAGCAGCAGGAGCAGGGCCACGGCCTTTTTGTGGCTCATGTGGTGGTACTTGGAAAGCGACTTCACCAAGGAGGCCGCCGAGGGCAATCCTTTTGGGCCTGGACAACCGGGACCCGCAGATGACCCAACTACGGCTGAATTTCCTATCAAATGCCCGCCATTCGAGATCTTGACCCCGGATCAAGAGGCTCTGGAGAATGTCGACACGCCTGACGAGCAGGCATTTGGTGAGGTCAAGCGAAAGGAGAGAACCGCGATTCTAGCAAGTGACATGGCGCCTGTTGTGACGGGCCCCAAGCGCACCAACAAGAAGGGTGAGTGTTCATTATTCGTCTTGTCAAGTCCGACAAAGTCTGACTTTTTCTGTAGGATTCAACCAGAACCCAGTTTTCTCAATTGCTGCCGACGATGGCACTTCAACCCCTGGGAGAGACCGACAGTCGCCGTCGCATGGTGAGTTTTACAATGTATTGGGTCGAAGCGATCTCAAACTGACAATCAAAGGCTCTGCACGAGGGCGTGGCAAGCTTGCGAAATCGCTCATCGAACGAGACTATCCCTCGGATACCGACCGTACTCGCTCGGCGTCTCCTCCGAACAGCGTCTACAACACGGCCAAGAAGATGGCAACACCAAATATGCGGATAAACACACTCCTCAACGAAGACGGGCCTGCGTCAGCCTCGCCTGCACCCAAAGGCCCTGGTCGGGGCAACTGGTCTCGCAACAGACAATCCGGTATAGGAGCCAGCGGCGGCCCAGCAGCCCGCAGCTTCAAGGCCAAACTCGATGCAAACAACTCGCAAGACGGCCAGTCGCCTTCAACCTCCGCCCCAACCTTCAACGGCCCTCACGGCTTCTACCTCCCCCTGAACGGCTCCGACCCCTCGCACAAGCGCACAAGGCCACTAACTCAACACCAACTCGCCGTGGAACAATACCGCCGCCGCCGTGTCGACGTCATCCTCGACCGTGGCATCCGCATCGAGTACAAAGCAGCCGCCAAACGGCGCCGCAAAGCCAATTCCTTCATCCGCAGCTGGATCCGCTGCAAAGGCATGGCAGACGGCTACGACACGGACGAAGAAACATATGCCCAATACGGTTCCTCGACCGGTCTCCCCGACCCAGACTACCCTTCCTCCACCACTGCAGCCACGACCACGGGCGCAGGCGGCGGCACCAAAACCCCTCCCCCCATGCCTTCCGGCCTCGTTCCCCTCGACTTTGGCGGCGAAACAAACGACTTTGGCGAGGAATCTTACTTCCGCGCTAAAATGCTGAGTCGCGCCCTACGCCGTCTGGAGCGCTGGGAAGAGGGCAAGACGGCGCCTCGCGCCCGTAGGCCAAAGGGTGAGCTCGCAAATGGCGTCTCAACTGCGACAGCGACGGCCAGACAAGCAGGGGCTGCTGGGCTGGAGAGTGGCGATGACGAGGATGAAGATGAGGCCGAGGCCGAGGATCTCATGGATGTGGATGAGGGCGAGGAGGCGAGTGAGGATGAGAGCGAGGATGAGACTATGATTGATGCTACTGTTGTGTCGAGGGTGGGCCGCGTTGCCTAAAACAACTGGGCTTTTGATCAATTGTTGTTTCCTTGGCTGTTTTTTTTTTCTCCCCTTCCCCCTTTTTTTGGAAACAGGGGATTTCTCAACGTATTGTATTATATAAAATTTGTTTTTCTCTTTGTTTGGAGACAGAGCATGGCGCTTGGGATTCAATGGGGGACGGCGAAGTCTGCGATTAGGGTTTAACAAAGTGACTGGTTGTTTTTCCCCAGTTTAACATCATGATTTTGGCTCTTTTTTTTACAGTATTGCGGCATCCTGGTATTAGCACAACTAGTATTTTCTTTTTTTCTCTATACTTTTCAACACACATGATATCAGAGAGGTGGGGGCGATAAAGTGAATTGCAAATATACATGGTTAGTCAAGTTACACGTTGGTATTGCCAAAAAAAAACATCTGAACTACAAGTCATGTAATTTTTCCCTTGTTTCATAGGAGTATAGTTTTTTTTTATAAAAAAAAAGCAAATAAACTCGTTTTCTATCTAGGAGCGACGTTTATCGTCGTTTGTAAATTCATAAAATGATTAGTTTACACGTCAAAACTCGCCCCCTCTTGATTTTTTTTTTTTACAATCCAGTCAGCCCGTCCAACAATGCCGTCAACCCACCAACTCCCAACAACGCACCTGCCGCTGCCTTTCTCCCCGTATGATTCTTTTTTCCACTACCATACTTGGCACCATCGCCATATCGATCCGTGTACCTGGATCGGCTCCTCTCGCGCTCTCTCCTGCTACGTCGTGGCCGGTCAAGTTCAGATTCCGACGTCGTTAGGTCGTCATCGTAGCGTCTGTTTGATGCCGAGGATGGTGGGCCTGTTGGGTATCCGGGGGCGGGGTTGCTCATGTAAGATGAGCGGAGAGGGGAGGCTTGCATTGGGTGGCTGGCATTGTAGTTTATGTTGTAGGATGAGTGCGAGGAGCGGAGGTGTGGTGGGTGTGTAGTAGTATTGTTGGGGTAAGGTAGTGGTATATTCTGTACTGGCGATTGCGGATAGTAAGATGGAGCACTATTGTTTGTCGGCTGAGACGGATAACTGCTCGGTTGGGTTGGATAATAAGGGTGTCGAGGAGACTGAGGTGGTGGCGGGTGATGTTGGCCATACTGCTGGCCTGGAGGTATCGGGATCTGTAGATTTGGTGTGCGTGCGTTTACAAGCGTTTGTGGTAGTGGAGGAACAAGACCTGGGCCTGGCATGGATATGGAGCGATCCAGAGGCGGCGGTCCTGCGGGTGGAGGTGGGAGTGAAGAGCTCAGGGAGCTGGTCGCACGATGAAAAGGCGGATGCGTGTTACGAGCTACCGGAGTGCGGTCTCGGTCAATCGGGTTGCTCTTCAGTGCCATGGGTGATGGTGGTGGCTGCCGGTGGAAGGATGAAGTCCTTGCCTTGGGTTCGGCCGGCGGAGTAGGCGGCGCATTCTTTCTATATATCTCAACTGTCCGTTCTACGAGACGCTTGACTTGGTCAAACTGCAGCGGCCGCTCAATGCAGAAACATGTCTCAAACCTTGTTCGTCTGCTATTCCTTCTCTCTTTCTGCACTTGAGTGTATGGTAGCCGCGCTTCTTGAATAGCTTCTTTGCATACCCAGCTCGCCATTATTTCAGTCCAGCTATTCCGCTCCGAAAATGCAATAGATGGCGCTTGGTCAGTATTTGAACTGACTTGCTTAGCGTCAATATATCTCCAATAATACTTTCGTGTGCATAGCTTCCACGGTATCTCAAGATCCACATCGTCTTCTTCCTTGGCTTCCATAGCAGCGGCAGCATCCACTGGGAGGCTTGCTACACTGGTCCTTAATGACTCAGATGAGAGATTCGTGTTGGAATTGTGGGGCGTGTCGGCAGGAGTTGGTGATACTTGAGGGTTAAAACTTTTCTCAGACTCTGGACTGGGTATATTGTTTTCCATGAACAACGGCTGTGTATCTCTCGACCCGTCTGATCCTCGTTTGCTATCACCCGAGGCCCTGGATCGTCGAACCCGCTCTTCTTCGCTATCCGATTCAACTGTAGCTTGCTGATTCTGCTGTCTCTGCTTCCGTTGTTCAAGCTCCTCATCTTGAAGACGCCTCTCGAACTGAGGCAAACTGGTCCATCGTCCAAGTAGCTGTTCGCCATGTGATGCAGATGTGCTGCACACGGAAAGGAGTCTCTTAGATTCTGTATGCGTCGATGTTTCGAGGCCACGTAGCTCTTGATTTTGGTATGAATAGAGGCGAGCTGGCATAGGCGGTTCATCCCGCTCGGCTTTGACCAAACTCTGTGAGCTGTCGTCTTCCATCAACAAACGCGCATCTGACTGTGACGCATTTTCGAAAATCTTAGAGGCGGCAAAAATTGACAATTGTTGTTGGATAATGAGGGTCTCCAGTTGCGTCTTTTCGTTGTCAACAACTTTAGCTGCTTGCTGTGGCGATACTGTAGGACGCAGTCTATTTCAATGTTAGCCAGTGCCGGTCACAAGATTTTGACATGTTCATCGCTGCCGTACCAAGAAAGCAGCATGTCGTGTTTGATTGTAGAGGTGATCAAAGTAATGACCTCATCTTGGGGGAAGAGATCGAATGACTTACTTTGACCACATAACACTCTGAGCAGTGTACAATGTCTGTAGTAACACCGATAAAGTAGTGCTCAAAGCCTCGAGATGAGCCACCAGATACGCCAGTCTTGTTGCCATAGGTGGATCTGATAGCGGACGAATATCCCCTGCATAACGAGCGCTATCCCTTCGGTTATAGTGCTGAGATTCCTGTGTGGATACAGCCGATTCGAGGCTACCCATAACATTCTGTGATTGTTCTATTACATCGTCTAATACATCAAATGCCTGTATACGGTTAGTGTTAGAGTACAAAATCCATTTTTTTTTTGCCATGAAATTCAACTCCTAGAGGGCTGTCTCCACCCCGTGGTTTGATTGTGGATATCTATACGACGAAGTTTTGTCGATGACAGCTTTGTAGGAAGTTCGGACACCGTATGGGCAGCTCTTCGGAACACATCAAATAGAGCCTAAACATACCTCTGGCGACGGTAACCGATCATCCTCCTTAATGATTGTGCCGACTTGCTTAAGAATACTGGCGAATCCGTTGATCCTGTTTGCGATCTCCACCAGCTCTTTTGCCGCATCAGGTGATGCAGCAGCTGTCTTAAACAGGTCCAACGCAAGAGCCGAACTCCTCGAAACCACCGGTAGAATAGCTGCGAGTACTGCCATGCTTGCCAGAAAATCGAAGTGCAGTGTGTGTCCAGAGGTCAAAGGAAAAAAAGCGTGGCAATCGAATGTTGAAGTGGAGCCATGGGTGTCGGGAGTAGCAGGCAAAGTGGTTTGACATGTATCAATGTGTCCCTAGCTAACCACTATTTCTAGCTTGTGTGAGGTCATAGGATAGGTCTAATGCAGGGCTCTACTGACCGACGACCAAATCCGGCGAGGATCACGGCCTGCTAATTGGCTGAAGACCCTGGCGGAAGTATGCATATACGCCAACCGTTGAATTCACACATCCATTTCCAAAAGGCTCGGCAAAAATTCAGCGCGCGGAACATGCATGTCATGGATACGCAGAGGCTGTGCACTCTCGTCATGGTCTGCTACGAGTACCTTTCAGGTGTCGATTTGGCCCGCTTCTGGAACCGTGGCACTCGACGAAGCCGGCGAAGCCGACGAAACCAACCGTCCCAGTATGCATACATAGGTACGCATCCAAAATCAGGAGCCCAGAATATTTGCGCGCTGTACCTTGAAGCATTGCTGCGTGTACTCATCAGAGGTCCCCAAGAGGGGCGCCAATAGTGTGGCGCAGGACGCCGGGTATACGGACGAAAATTGGCCACATGATGACTTTTTGAACCTCAAGCTAAGGGCAAGTGTGCACACCAACATGGGGTGACAATGAGACTGTTGAATCTGCCTCGCTCTCCTTACATGTTGCATTCGTAAGGGTCGTGTTTCTGTATGACCGGTGAAGGCCGTAGTCGTGGCTGTTCATAAGCTATAAGTCGGGTGTCTGCAGTCGTTGTACGCCAAAGGTCCGAACATGTGTGCATGCCGTATTTTCGTATTATGCGCCCTGTATAGGACTGCCAATAAGAACAGGCGGCTGGGCTGAATGCATGGCTGCATGGAGCCGACGGTAGATCGGATGACAGCCGTGTTCATGGAAGAAGGATGCGCAGGATGGGTGCTGTACGCCAAGTAAACATTCCGAGTGCTTGAGGAAGCGACTACTTACCCAGCAAAGACACGGTAAACGAACGGCTCACAAGCAAATGCTAACTTTTTTGAGGCGTCTTCCTGCATAACGCATCTAGACTACCGGATACTCTTGTCCATATTTTGTGTGCGCAATTCCCAGCCTTGCGGTATTCTGTTCCAACACATCTTATAGGTACACATATGTCTACATGCAGTATACAGAAACTCAGTTATGAACCAAAGCCGCCAAAGTCCCATTGTTGCCTGCCCTGGTTGCTTCCTGGTGATAGGGTTGTGTATTGCTGCACCATGTTCCAGTCAATCCTGTCCCACCACGCCTCAAGGAACTGCCTCTTCCCCCGAACACCGTAGTCCTGCAGCCAGACATGCTCCCAGGTGTTGACGCACAGCAGTGGCACAACATCAACGCCGCCCAACGCCTTCTTGGGCCCTTGATTTTGCATAGTTGCCGCAGCCCCGAATGCCCCAACCTTGTTCAGCGCTTGGTACGAGTCTGGGTTATGCGTGTTCAGGTCGTGCGACTGTCGTCTGTGGTGGGCGCCTGACAGTGGTGATCCGGCGAGATAGGTGGGGAGGATGCGCAGACTGCCAACGGCTAGGTCGTCCGTCTGCACCAGCCAGACGAAACCCGGCCCGAACATGGCCTCGGCGGTTGCAAGGAACGTCTCGCGCAATGTATCCATGGACGAGAAGTCCTTGTTGATCTGCATCTCAAGGTCCTTGGTCGGCCGTGACTGCAACTCCGGGTTCGTATTGAGGCCGCGGAAGAAGAAGTGGTTGTTGAAGGCCATGCTGGCGACATTGAAGGCATACGCTTTGGTCGGGTCGCGGGCGAATTCTATGACGAGCGCCTTTGGCTCTTGGTTCTCGTACCCTTGGCCTACATTTGCGATATCAGTCTCGGATGGCGCCTCGAATCGCAATGGCAGATGGCATACCGTCAGTCATGGTGTTCAATTCGTCAATCATGTGTTGCTGATAGTCGGTATAGGCCGTCTTGAAGCCTTGCGGCGTGAGCAACCGTGGAATGCCCTTTTTCTCGATTTCCACATGGTTGTCCAGCGCAGGAACAGTATATTTGTTACGGGCGAGTGATGGTATTCTCTATTCAGCGTCAGTCTCCCCCTCCACCGTCACTGACACCGCCAGGGCCAAACATACCCTCCAAGCCCCAGCCGCAGACTGGATGGCACCCGGCCGCCGGGCCAAACACCGTGCAATCATGATATGCGTGGATTAATCGGGCGAGCGATCGAATTGTCAGGCCCAAGTCGTTCATCCAAGCTCATCTTTTTCCCCGAGCCTGGCGGGCTTCGCGCTAGCCCCACCCGGCCAATCACGACGCGCCCTCGCCACGACTGCCCAAAACTTCCAAACCGCAAGCGCCCGCATTCCGTTTCACCCACTCAACTGCTGGCGAGCGCAGAGCCACACGACCCCAGGAGCCGCCTGCCATTGCCAACCATGCTAGTAAGGCTGTACAGCTGTCTTGCCAGCCATACATTGCATGCTGTCCACTCGGCGCCTCGACTGCTCTATTTGCAGAACATGGCTTGACCGCTCGCCAGCGTCACCTGCGGCTCTTGGGTCGTTGATTTTTTGCTGGTAAATATATTCAAGGTAAAGCGGGTCTGTCGTTTGTCTGTCCCATATGTTTCGCACATCGCTCTTTGCCATCTGTTTCTCTACTTGTCGCTTTCACAGTCGCTTTGTTTCGTTTCGAGTCACGTTATCGAGCGTCGCCGGTCCGACCTCTTCACTATAATACCCTCGACTATATTTTTCCCATCACTACTACAATGGCTCCAATCACATCTTCTCCAAGGCTATCACGCTTATCCGTCCTATGCCTCTTCATTTTCTTCATCACAGCCACACAAGCATCCGCTCTCTTCGTACGCCAAGCAGAGACATGTGGAGGCAACGCAGAGCTCCAACAATGCGGAGGTGACTTTCCGTCTTCCTTTTGCTGCCCCAAGTCTTCTACTTGCATGAATCTTAACAGTGGCTCTGTCAAGTCTGTCATTTGCTGTCCAGCTGGCTCGGACTGCTCTTACATCCAACCCACCACCTGCGATGTCACCCAGCTCAATGCTACCCTGCATCCAGAAAACCAGATGCACCTCTCCGAGACTGATGGTATTGAGCTACCAAAGTGCGGTGATAATTGCTGCTCTCTCGGATATACATGTCAAGGCAACATGTGTGCCAAAGACACCTCCCCTACACCGTCTCCATCCAGCCCCTCTACTGCAACACCCTCACCCTCACCCTCATCCACTTCCCCTGCCTCTGCATCTCAAACCTCAGACTGCCCAGCCTCTGCCCCAGTCGAAACAGGATCCTCGTTCGACGGGCGTTCATTTGCTGCAGGCTTCTTCCCTGGCCTCGTCATCGGTGCCCTGAGCACGCTCGCTCTCCTCTGGGTCATCAAGAAGCGCCGTGAATCGCAATCCAAAGAGCGATACTCTGGTGACTTTGGGCATGTAGCACGTCAAATCAGCGACCCCATCTACGACCCCCAGCTTGCTGCACGTACAGATTTCATGCGGAGGGGAAGTCGCTCAGCGGCCTCTTCTCCAAACTCAGCCGATAGGATCGCGCAGGGCATGAAGGAATCCAACAACACTGTCGTTCATGGCTTCACTCCCAGGATCAAAAGCATGTGGGAGCGTACCCCCAAGCTAAACTTTGGCTTCGGTTTACCTGCAAACCCGGCACCTCCTGCTGTTCGGGCGGGAAATCCTTATAACGATCCTTACCAAACACCCCCGCCAAAACCTAAACGCATTCATTCGGCGCGTCGCACGAGTTCGAGGCGTACCAGCGCTATACCGCCTCACGTTCAACCCCAACATCAACAGGGCCGTTCAGGTGCTTTGCGAGTCGACAGTTCCGAAACTATCGATGTGCTGATGCCAACGACGGGAAGTGGATACCCCATGAATCACAACAACGACTCGGGCTTTTTGCAACCCCCGCAGGCACCTGGCATGCGAGGCGCAAACCGCTATACAACGGATTCTGCCCACACGACTTTTACCAAGTTGATGGAGCGGGCGGGGTTTGACGAGGAACCAATGCAGGCAGTCAGAGACTGGAAGACTCCTCGAGTTTAGTATTGATTCCTTCACTCTCTCTTTCTCTCAGACTTTGTCTTCCGAAAAAACACCCCCTTCTTTTTCACGTACATAAATTCTTTTTTTTCCTCCCGACACTCCTTACTCATTTCCAGCACCGGCGTTTTCTCAAAAGGACTTTCCTTTCACACATACCCACACAGAGGGCATCGCTGTTCTTTGCATATCTTCGGCGTTTAGCATCATCCGGCTCATGAGGCTTTTGTGTTTTTTTTTGTTTGTCACTATTACTGCATTGATTTTTCTTTTTTTCTATGATACCACTATGAATCTGGCAGGCCCCTTTTATTACGATTCTGAGTTTTGCTAGAGATTGATGAGATTTTATTGAGTACCGAATATCAACATCTACACTCACTTCTTTGTTCTCCTTGATGCTTTGATACGTCTACAGTGTCTTTTTTTTTCTCGCACTCATCTCACTACGCAAGATCGTGGTTCAATGTCGTAATTGCATCTTGAAATTGTTTTCCAAATGTCATATATCTAGCAAACTATACCAGGGCCTTACTGCTAAATCACTGTCAGAAAAGGAAGAAAACCTTGTGGATCTCTCTTCCTTGAACTCAGCACTCCATCTCCACCATGACCCCCACTACACATCCACCATAACCTCATCCTCACCCGTAATCCTTGCCTCCGCAGCCCCCGCCCTCAACTCCCTATCCACCACCCTCTCCACCTCCGTCCTAACCACCTCCTCACTGCCACTCCGCCTCTTCTTCCCAAACAAACAATGCCAAAGATCATGCTCAGGCACCACCTCGCCATCCCCCTTCTTCCTAAGCAACTTACTCAAAGACGCATTTTCCAACTCCGCCGAATTCGCCTTTTCAAGCGCCTGTTCCCCGAGACCTTCCACACCATGCTCCCCTCCTTTTGCCTTGCCGTTATCCCGGCGAGAAGAAGAAGACATATGCTCCAACCTCCTCTTAACACTAATCTCGTAAATCGCCTCTTCCACCGTGCCCGCCACTAGATACATAAACACCGTGGTCCCCCTCATCTGGCCAATCCGATGCACGCGACTAATCGCCTGCAGCTCAATCGCCGCATTAATCAGGGGCTCACACAGAAAAACGTACGTAGCATTCACCAGCGTCAGCCCCGAAGAGTCCGACTTTGCGTCTAGCAACAAGCAATCGACACTCGGATCCGACTTGAAGCGCTGAATGCCGTCGCGGTCAGCGGTGCTGGTAGCGCTGATTTTCCATTTTCTGAATGCGTCGCGGAGGACGAGAAAGAAGTCGCTGAATTGGGAGAAGAGGATGGATTTTGCGCCTGGGTCGTTGGCGCGGAGCCAGAGGAGGTGGCGGGCGAGCATGTCGATTTTTGTGCCGTAGGAGCCGGTGAGGGAGATTGTGCGGATTTCGCGCATGGTGGTGTTGCTGATGGAAGAGTAGATGGAGGGGGAGGAGGGTCCCGAGGGTAAAGTGGAGGAGGAGGAGTAGGAAGACGAAGAAGAGGTTGCTTGTGTTGGGGGGTTGAGACTTGTGGATGTCGTCTCTTCTTGCGCCTTGATTTCAGAAGGCTTGAAGCTAATATCCTTGAAGTCGGAGGAGCTAAGCTTTTGCTTACAGGTGGGACAGCTGCGGTGAGTGCGCCACCATTGGTTTATGCACTCTTTGCAGTATTTGTGACCGCAAGCTGTCAGGAGGCCGATTTCGATGTCTTCTCGGCAGATGATGCATTCAGCGGTGACTTCTTTCTGGTTCTCACTTCGGAGGTGCTTCAGGTAAGTGCACTTTGTTTTGAAACCAGCTGCGCTGTCCTTCTTCTGTGCTCGCAGGGCTTCTGTCTTGTTGAAAGCGCGGGCATCAAAAGTCGCGTCGAGGTCTTCCTTATACTTGGCAACCGTGTCAGAAATGTGTTGGAATTGTCGGTAGTACTCTAGGCGCTGATTCATAGTAGTTCGAAACATTTCTTGCTCTTTCTCCAACTCGGTGATGGCCTTTGCTTGATCCGTAGCGATAGCTTGTACCTTCTTGAATTGCTCCTGAAGTATGGTCAGTTCCGAAGCGGCGCGTACGTCGCCAGCTTCTGCCTTCCATTGCACGCTGTTAATCAGTGAGCGGATGCCCGATATCACCCCCTTCAAGGATCCAGCTTTCAACATGCTTTTCAGCCTACGCCTCACATTTGCAGTCTCGACAACCAGCTCAGGCGCATGTCCGCGATCTGCTCCAGGCTCTTTATTCAGGGCTTGCTTCTCAGCAGCCTTCATTTCATGTTCGATGAGAGCATCTTGAAGGCCGTGCACAGCTGCGTGACGGTCGGCGACCAGTGTGCGCAGAGCCATGATGTAAACGTAGAGTTCATCCTGAATTTTTAATGACTCATCATACTCTTCGCCAGTGGTCTCTTGATCGTCATCATCGTCCATCAAACGTGTCAAGAGGATGTCGACAATCTTCGAGCGCCATATTTGTATTTGCTCCGTTTGTGCATTCAGAAAGTCGCTGATGTTGTCTATCGTGTCAAGGATCCTCCGCGCTTCAATGCCGCCTAGATCTGGAAGGTCACTGATCTTTGCTATATTATGAAAAGGCTTCTTCGCGTTGATCCTTTCCATCTGCTCCTTGGCTCTAGTCTTTGATTCTCTCAAAAGCTCACGTCGGATTACTCTAGCTGCTTCATAGTAAGCAGTTTCAGATCTGTCTTTTTCGTGCCAATCTTCTGAGCCCGGCTCTGTTTGTAACGGGTCTTCTTTGATTTGGTGGAATGCTGTAGCAGTAAAGAACTGTGAAGCATGCTCAAGCTCCAAGAATGATCGCAGTGACCTGCGTAGGACGGGAATGCGGCCCATCTTCTCGACATTTTCCTCGTCATCCTCGTCAACATCGGGAAGACTGGCTGTAGACGTCCGACCCAGCTTTTCTTGCTCCGCCGCTAATTCGGCTCTGCATAATGCAATGTATGATTGCGCCTCTAATCGTGCAGCACTATAGTATGGAAGTGCAGATTTTGCTCTGTTGGCGAAATCTCCAGCATACGCTTGGATGTGACCTTGTTTGAGCAGGCAAAGAATCATCTCACGGGCTTCGGCTTTCCATTTGCTGTCATTCTGTTCTATCATGATCTCGAGAACTTCATGCACAGTACGTAAAGCACCATGCCTTGTGCCCAATGCTTTCCGGTTCTTGCGTCCCACGTTCGCATGGAGACATGTCTGGCGTAGCCTGACAAGCCACTCTCGCATTCGTTCAATCTTTTCCGCATCATCTAGTTGACGACCTTCTTCCAATGGCAAACCCTCGGGCGTGAGCCAACAAGCATCACACATTTGGCGCATCATCTCATCGTAGTGCTGCTCCTCGATAGTAGTAAACGGAATAGTAATGACAATGCGTTTCTGCGGCGGCAGCTGCAGCTCATCTCGAACTTTGTCTTTAGTATTCCGTACCGTAATCTCATGGAAAATGTCCTTGAAGGAAGTCTTGTCGAAATGACCCCAAACGGCTTTGCTGTCCGCGTAAGCATCGCAACGAAGGAATACCAGAAGACCCCGCAAATCCTGAACATCCCTGCGCAGAGGAGTCCCAGAGACGGCCCAAGCATTGCAACGTGGTATCATTCGAGCTACTCTGGCGGCCTGACTAACTCCAGTCTCCACCATTTGAGCTTCATCAAGGCAAACCCTCCACCAAGATATACCCATGAGCGGGCTGCTTCGGCGCTCACGACGATTAGTTTGCCGAGAACTACGATCCGGAGGAGGAATCGCAAAATAAATTTCTCGAGAGAGAACCTGATATGTGGTTACGACTACATCGTGTTGCATTAAATGCTCAACCGTGGCTGTCATATGGCGATCTTTGCGTGCTGACGCCGGCGGGATCCCTGTGTAATGACAGACCTTGAGCTCGGGTGCGTGTACATGCATTTCGCTTATCCATTGCTCCAGAATGGAGGGCGGGGCGATGATCAATGTCGCTCCAGAAGGTTTCACATGGGCCCCTGTATATGCGTCATAGACGTTGCCTTGAGAGATTTCTCGCTTGTGGTGCGACATGAGCGCAATCAGTTCGACTGTCTTGCCCAGGCCCATCTCCTCCGCGAGTATCCCGCCTCTCAATGACCTCAACATATCCGCTGTGGCCTCGGATAGATGAGTTATTATAGTGCCCCGGAGCTGGCTCACATAGCACAATCGCCCTGTCGCATCCTGTTTTGGCCTGAACGATGTTGGCGGTGAAGTATTGACCAAAGGTTCGAGCGCACCCGATGGAGAGAAAGTGACTCCTTCTCGTCGGAGAAGCCAATCCACTGTCCGTTGCTGAAATGGCAACAGCTTCGTCTCGGTCAATGCCTGCTCAATGCGGGGTGAAACCTTGAGATCCCGCGGTGGTACATGGACAGAGTTGTAGAAATCAGACAGAGTCCATGTGTTGTTGTCCTGCGGAACGGCATCCCTCATGTAGGTAGAGAGCAGCGTAAGATCCTCTTTTGCGTAGTGACCGCGAATAGTCTCATCTTCAACAACTGATATGCCCAGCATCCAGCGTATTTCAACTTCCAACTTGTATGCGACTCGTTCAGATACGGACCGACGCAGGAGACAGCGACAAAAGGCGGCCCTAGGTCCAGACCTGGATAACTTCCCGTGTCGCGTGTTAGCGAGCGTGGCAGCGTTCCGAAGATGGGGTAGTATCGAATCTAGCAGAGAGGCGGGGGCTGTGACAACCATTTCCACTCCCGTGTTCCCGACCACGTTGAAGACCTCCATATGGAGAACCGACTGCGAGGGATCTTTTCGAACCTTTTCCAATGCAAGTGCTATGGGTTCTTGCGACTCGGCCGAAACGTGTGTCATGTCTTCATCCTCGTGCGATGTAGCAGGCATATTCTGCAACTCAAATAAGTCTAGTACCATGGAAACGAAGTATATGTACCCACCAAATCCAGAGATATTTTAACCAGAACAACGCTTTTCTCATCGCTGAAATCTTGTGGTGGTTTTGCGGGGGCAGCATCTTCATGGCCAAGTTTGCGCCGCTTCTTAGGTGGCTCTTCATCTCTGCGCGATTCGAATACAGGAAATAACGAGTGTATGGTACGGATACAACTTAAGGTATCTGTGGCGGAAGATGGCAATTTCTCTCCCTTCTTCCGAGCGTTGGCGGGCACATAGGAACTTGCGCTCAAAACACGCGCGCTTCCCTGGAACGAAGACATCAGAGCAGAGGTAGAGGTGGACGGGGTGAGGGGCGGCGTAACACGGACAAGGTGAACGCGGAGGTGTGATCGCATGTCCGCAGATCCTCGACGCGCTAAGATAAGTGATAGGAGACCAGGGGTCCGCCCCACTCAGGCTTCAGGTACATAGTGCTTTGCTCCACCTGTCTTTCGTCTTACCTTTGTATTCCTTCCACTTGTGAGTAAAGTAATAGATGTGAACTGATATCCGTTTGCGGGGTAACTGAAGAAAAAGAAACCAAAACTTGCAACAGGGGGATCACAGAAGTTGCGTCATTATACCAGAAATACACAAATGTTTGTTGGACGGGAATTATTTGTATTTGTGCTGAAAAGCCATACGGCTCAAGAAGTTTAAGCAATATCCTTGCATAATAACATACACTTGAACAAGTCAGGCTGCATTTACAATGTAGCAGAACTTCCTTTCTTGCGCAGCTGGTAATTGTCCTGCTTGCGCCTGACGGTCACTACCATTCCAACGCGTAATCTCAAAACAGGCGTAAAATCCATGTTGCCGGCGAGTAAGCGGTGGGTAAGGTATTTGAACGGATCGTGATGAAGATATCCGCTAGCACCTTCCACACGTCTGACACGCATGCACTAACTCCACAAGTTGGTCTACCAACCAGGGTTTGTGTCGGCCCTCCTTCGAGAGCCTCAAGGCAGCAGTGCTCCGCAATATGAAGGATTTGATGGTGATCCGTATTGCGAGGCTTGTTGTAAGGACCGGGGTTGCTGCGTCGGCCATCCTTTTTGATGTGTGTTCCTCGAGAGGATTCCATATAAATGGGCGAAGACACATGAAGAACCAATAGGTGTGTATCATGTTTCCAGAAGCCCAGCGGTATTAGTCTACTCTATTGACAGCACTTTCTTGATCGGTTCTGCAGCCTCGATAAACTTCTCAACCATCGTATCAAGCTTGGTCAGATCATCCTTGCCCTTTTTGACCTCGGCAATAAGCTTCTGCTTCTGCTTGAGCTTCTCCTGCCGGCGCTCTTCCAGCTTAAGGCGGACTTGGTGTTCGTGCTCGATGCGCGCCGTCATGAGGTCGTGTTCGGTGGATTCCTGGTGTTCGGGGAATTCTTCGAGGAATTCTTCGAGGGGAATGAGGGGTAATTTCATGTATTTGTGACTGCGCGCCCGTTAGTATGCAAATAACGCAACGAGTCAGAAAGGAACATACTCATAGTTTTCAGCGGCAGAGATCTCTGAGCGCAGCGACTGCTCCTCATACTTCAAGTTGTGTAGACCCAGAATGAGCGCATCGTTGACAGCCCTGTCGTCTGATGTTTTGGCTTTCTCTTCGCGCACCTTGAGTATACTCTGCCTATAGAGAGTCTTGATGATGGACAGTTGCGCGCGGATGTACTTTTCCCTCCTTTCAATCTCGCGCATCGCTTTTTTCTCATTGTCAAGGTCCTCGCGCGATTCCGCCTTGGAGCTTTTGGGGTGAGCGAGCTGGAAGTCTACCAGTTCGTTGATGAGCTTCTTGAGATTTTGCACTTCCTGGTAGAGACGCGCATTGTGCGGCGTCTTTACAAGGTCGGCCATGTTGAAAGTGGTCAGATCCGCCGGCATGGCCTCACCGGGTCCTGGGAGCGAGACTTGTTGGTCGGTCATGGCGGATTCCCTAGCCGGTGGTTGCCGCGTCGACTTGTGGCCTGTTATTGGACTTGGGAGGCACAGTGAGCTTGCACTTGCATTGCGCGCCTGTCGAGACCGTGCGTCCTTGTTCCATCAGCACGTGACCAGGCGTCACTACCGTGTTGTCCCCCTGCACAGTGGCGACTTTTCCACTTTCCCTTTGTAATCCATCTCGATCTCCCCCTGGCGCCATCATGAACGCTTGTTGTGCATTTCAAGCCTCCAACACGCCACCACTAGCCCCCTTGCAACACTGCAAACGAATGGAACGAACTAGACTGCTCCAGGCAAACATTCACATTGCCCATCAGGCCACACTGGCTGCGGCACTGCTGATAACACGGCTTGACCCAGTCAAAGTCGAACTCAAACGCCGTATCTGCTTTCGCTTATCGATCAAGGGATCTGTCGTGTTCGCATTGCGCCCACGATGCGCCAATCCGGAACGCTGGAGAGCACTGATCATGTGTTCTGTCTGTGCAAGGGCAAAGGCGCATGTCCAATTTGCTGCCCGAAGGCCCATTTTGCTTTTCGCTCTACCAGATGTTTATTCAGAGGGCTAAGACCTTCTGCCAGACATTGATTGCAGCCACTTGAACATTGGTACGATTACTTGCTTAGTCTTCCGGCCCACGGCTATGGTACCAACACAAGCCTCGGGCCATAACGCAATGGCGCATGTGGATTAAAGCGCGGGAACAGCCCAGCACACCGGTTTGACATTCCGGTATTATCATGGACATACTACATACTTGCGTACTTATGCTTACTCGAGTGAGATTCTCTATGCCAATGTGAATACAACCCTCCTTGAGCCCCGACTCCGCTCTTGGCTCCTTGCATACACACCTCCTTGTCCAAGATAGCGCCGGTTTGATCGGCGTAAGTACAGGCTTGCCATGTGGACTCGCCTCCTGTGCGTTGATTACTATTTCCTTCAGGGGAAAGGACCTCGCGCCCGCTACGGGCAAACGAAAAATCACAGGCACAGCGCAGGCTTGAACAGCGATAAACGGCCGAGTGCTCAAGAACAGCTTAGGCTCCTCTATCTTCCCGAAGGCCATCCCTGGCCGTCCAGTAGCGGGCCTAAGGCCAGTGCTGAGTGGCGCTCTAGCGTGTGCTTTGGGCAATTGAAACACACAAGGCTTGGAGGATATCGCGGAGGATTTGCAGGCCTGGAGGATCCAATTTAACTCTGTTTTTAGGAGAGACCCTGTCACGTCAAGACCGCAACGTCCATTTTCGAGGCCCCGGCAACTATTATCCAAGCAAAGTGGAACCGACGAGCTCAGATATCCTAATCAGCCCTCGGCAAAAGATAGCTGTGCGCCTCGCTACCTAACTATAGGCTGCTTGCTTCAGTTTCAACTTTTGCTCCGCATTGCCGAAACCTTGCCACAATCTAGCGCTAATTGTTTTACGTGTCGACCAAAGTGTATCGTGACGATGCAAAACCCTTTGGGACAAGCTGGCTAGACCTTCAGTCTTTTCGACAGCGCTGATGCTAAGGTCCACTTCACAGTAGTAGTCTTGATACTTATTTGAAAATGCCGGGCGAATGCTGTGAGCGCGGCAATCAAGCCGCCGCCCCAGCTGCTCTCGGCGGCTACAATGACAGATCTTGATCAGTGTGCCGCGCAACCACACCTGACTCGACAGCAAGGGATGGTGAAGCAAATGCCATAGCCGTACTAGGCACCCCTACCCGACCATTACGTCGCCGTACTCGGCAAATCATGTATGCGTAGGATTTTTTATCCGATTCCGAGCCAAGCATAACAAAACGGTGCACATTGTGCTGCAGCCTCGGTTTCCTCCGGCTCCGCACTGCGTTGGACTAGGGACTGTACGAACGCATGAACGACACCAGCCACCATGACAATCGCATTCCTAGGTTGTGGCCTATGTTTAAATTACTTTTTTCCATCCTAACGCCGGTGCCCCATCTTTGGGAGATTGAGGGCATGCATACACAGCGGCTGGCTGATTGATATCATTACCTCGGACCTGTGTCGATGACGTTGAAGAATTGCACAACCCGTCATGATTTGAACAACGAGTAATGCTGAGATGGCCTTGCAGACACCAATCCCCAAGTTGCGTTATCACCTTCTAGTTCAGCACACACATGCAAGTGGTAGCACAAGACGCATGCTAAGCGCAGATCAAGCTCGCGACAGAGATCAGCCCAAAGATGCCCGCCTGGCGTTAGTGCCCAGCGCCAATACTGAGAAGAACATTGTCCCGACTTGTGATATTAGCACCAGCTAGAACAGCCCTAGAACGGAGTCGAGTGGTACTCTAGGACTGGCATACAAGCGCGGTGCTTGGTAGGATGGGGCAGGGTACGCAAAAACAGAAAATTGTCTCTTCGACCCATCGGACCAAGTCCCTAGTTTCCCCTCACGGGCGTGCACTTTCACGTGGCATGGCACCTGTCATACCCAGGGCATCCCTGGACGGGTTGGAAACTCGCCCAGCAGATAGTGGGCTTGGGACCGGAGCAGGCGAGGGTTAAACCTTATTTCAGGCCTCTCGAACGTCCACTACAAGTTTCGGAGCTAGAGCAATACGCGCGATTCGTTAGTATGCGGGTGTTTGACTCGGCGCCCATACAGGCTAGGCAAGCGAATGGGCTGGCTTACCGTGGTACCTGTTGTTGCTTGGAGACGGGCTCGAGTCTGGGCCGTCCAGTGGTGGACTGTAAAGATGCCTCATTGACCCGCCTGTTGGCTTGCGTTCTTCTTTTCTCCAGTTCTCGTTCGTTTTTTCATCTTCGTTATGGCTCCAGCAAAAGAAACATCGCTTGACCTGTGCAAGCGTGTCAATGTACAGGGCAATACCATTGCGATTCGTATGCTTGAATACCTGAGCACTGCAAAGGTCCCTCTACAAGGCTTCGAGCAACTGTCAAGAGAGTTTGTCGAACTGTGCCAGGTACGACTCTACTACTGATCTCTCTTACAATGAAGCTCACAGTGATGATCAGGTATTATGGTCTATTGAGTCGGGTATTGCAGAGACCAACAAGGCACGCAATGGGCTCCCCGTTGAAATTACCCAGGAGCTTGACAGACGTGTCCGTCAGGTTGGCGAGGAGTTTGCCGTTCTCGCTCAGATGGTCAACAAATGTAAGTTTCAGTGACAAGTTGCATGGCGCCTGCCTGGGTTTCTGGCCCAGATACGTGTGAATGCGATAGCGCTAACAAACATATTACAGTTGTTGACAAAGAAAACCACAAAGGCGGGTTTGGCATGAAGTTTCGAATGATGTTCGCCGATACCGATGTTGAGAAAATGCGTCACACACTATCGCGGAGTCGTGACTCCTTAAAAGTCAGCTCCGCCATGTTTCGATGGACAATCGGTGAAGCCAAAGCAGACGCCTCAATGGGAATCGGCTATGCGGGACTGATAGCTGCATTGGAGCGTCTCAACCCAAGCAAATCAGCATCCCTCCCGCCTGTACATCCTGCCCCAACCTCAAATCTCCCGCCAACACCGCCAAAAGCCAGCAGCCATCATGGAGACCGAGACCCACCAATGATGCCTGCTGCCGGTCGCATGGACAGGCCGTCCCTGAACGAACTTCGTCACGACGAAGGCTTCTCTTATCACAGCAACCGTTCGATTTCTCGGCCAGATGAGAGTGAGCTAGCGCCAGGTATGGTCGATCTCCACAAGAACTGGCGAGCACCACCAAGTGCCCGCTCGAGCGAATCAGCCAGAGAAACGATTTATCACCCGAATGGCCGCTATCAAGATGACCCGGTTTATGAAGAAGTGGTTTCGTCATACTCGGGTCTTTCGCCCATTGAGGAGAAGCTACGTTCTCTCAGCGTCGGTGAGCGCTACGAAGATCACCACTCCGCAATGAAGGTCGATTCCCTCGTGGCTTCTCAAAACTGGGGCCCACGTCAGAGTGGAGGCTCAAAGAATGTTGGCGGCAAGGCAGCATTGTTCAATGCTGTTGAGCAGAGGAGACACCGAGTGCTCGAACAATTGCTTGAAGGCGGCGCCAAAGCAGAACCACATGTCGAATCTGCCATGATTCGGGTTGCTGTACACAATCAAGATGTAGAGACTGTTGTACTACTTCTGCGATACGGTGCGGATGCCAATGGCTTCGACCGTGAAGGCGTTACACCCTTATTCGCTGCTACCCGTGGCCAGTGCATCGAGTGCGCCAAAGTACTGCTGAAGCATGGTGCTGACCCAAATCTGTCGGCGGGTCCTGACTCCGAATCACCTTTATCAGCGGCTGCATCCCAGAATTATCTCGACTTCGTCCAGCTGTTCCTCGCTAACGGCGGCGATATCGGGTTTGTCATGGAAAACGGCTCCACCGCGCTCATCTCAGCAATGAACAAGACAACATCACCAAAGTGTGTGGAAGTAATGCTGAGCGCAAAAGGTGATCCTAACGCGAAGAACGGAGAGGGTACAACTCCCTTGTTCCAGGCCATCCAAGCGAACCGCATAGATTTGATGACGGTACTGCTTGACCACGGTGCAAACCCCAATCTCCCCGGTCCCAAGCACCCTCTGTGGCCATCGACGTACAAGCCAAAGGCCCTGCAGCTTCTGCTCCAGCGCGGTGCCGACCACAAGAAGACGCCTGGTGTCATGGAATTGGCCTCTAGTTTGAAGAAGCTTGAATCCATCAAGATCCTCATGGAAGCTGGCGTGTCGCCCAACGTACGGAAAGACAACGTCTACACACCACTTTGCTCAGCCATCCGCGATAACAGCCCCGAGATTGTTACCTATCTGCTCGAACACGGTGCAGACCCCAACTTCAATGCGGCAGAATATCCCGCTTTCAAGTGTATCACTCACAAGCGCACACAGTTTCTCCCGCAGCTAGTAGCAGCTGGTGCGGATCTCAACAAACCGAAGGGCATCATTGAGACTGCTGTAAAGTTTGACGATAAAGATGCGATGATCTACCTTCTTGATCATGGTGTCAGCCCCAATGACCGAACACCAGAGGGTTGCACAGCGCTCACTACCGCCATCCGGGAAAACAGGGGTGAGCTCGTCGACATTCTGCTTCAACGGGGAGCAGATCCCGCCATTCGAGGCGAAGACTGGCCCCTCTGCATGGCCGTCAAACGCCCCGAAATTCTTAAGAAGCTTCTTGCCGCGACACCGAACCCCCGTGCCTTCCGCGGTGTAGTAGAAATGGCCGTAGTTGCTAACCAGCTGGAAAGTATCAAGCTCCTCCTTGACGCCGGCGTCAGTGTTGAGGACAAGAACTGCGGTGTCTTCTCCCCCCTTACTACTGCCATTCGTGAGGAACGCAAGGTCATCGTCCGCTACCTCCTCGATGTTGCCAACGCCGATCCCAATGCTCCAGGCGAGCACCTACCCATAGTTAAAGCCCTCCGCCGCTACAGCGGTGATACGGAAATTATCCAAATGCTACTCACCCGCGGCGCCGATATCAACAAAATGCACCGAGGTTGGAACGCCATCCTGCAAGCTGTTGAGAATGGTGATGCCGAGATTCTGAAACTTCTTCTCGACATGGGCGGGCCTCCCGATCTACAGGCCCTTGATGAGTCTGGCCGTGCTGTGATCGACATCGTTACAGAGCGCGGTTGGGAAGAGGGTCTCGGGCTGCTTTTTCCCAACGCGGGCGGGCGGGCCAAGCAGTAGGTAATTCCCCCTCCAGTGCGTTACCCTTTCCTCTCTTGCCATGCAGAACAGATAGGCTAACAACAGCCGCAGCAACAAGAGTTTCTCTATCAGCGATTGGAAGTGGATGAGTGCAGAGTTGGAACGAGAGTTACACAGTCACAGGTATGATGATTATGATGATGTGGCAGATGATTGCAGTCAGGCCTCGAGTATGCTTTTACATGTATGATTCTTCTATCTTGCGCTTAATATCTTTGCTCTATGTTTGGCTGCTCATCTTTTTTGGTCACGATTTTGTACAAGCGGAATGGGAATTGCAGAAGGGATAATTTTCTTGTTGCATCACGGAGTTGGACACATATACCACAAGCTCACTGGAGCCAAACCATTTCCTTTGTTAATCTAAGTAATTCTACTTTTTACCTATTCATCGCACCATATCAGCCAACATTACTCGTTTTCATTCTCAAACACGAGAACTAACTCGTACCTACGTCAAGAATCACCCTGGCAATCGGCCCTATAAAACTTGTAATGCAGGGTGTATCGCGCCATAGACCAAAAGTCGTGCAACCCGCGGCCACTTATCCGCCCTGCCGCATCTCACCGCAGCTTTACGGGATCCCGTGCCGTACGTAGAGCAGGCGGGCAAAAACAAAAGTAAATAGGCCCATGGGCCCGAACCAATCCCCCTACGCTGACCCAACCCAAACCACGATACAAGCAAACACCCCGAACATGGCCCACACCCCCCTTAGCTTGCACAAAAGCAGATACCCAGAAATGGGGGAGTACAGTAGTGGTAACAACTAACCCCCCACTTTTCCCATATCTACCCAAACTCTAAACCCATCGTGTACTAAGAACCCCATTACATGCATGCACTACGCACGCAAGCACAACGTCAAAAAAAGGAAGCAAGCGCAAACCCACCCGCCTTACCACCCCTTCCCCCCTCTCCCTGTCAGCAGCAACCCGCCCCTCGTATTCCAAGGTCAACTATGTCTCGCAACGCAGCCAACCAGTAAATGAACAAACCTCCCAAAAATGTCCCACCCTGTGTAATCTCGCATCAACACACGATTCAGCTCTGCACGCGTCGCCCTTGCAAAACCTGCTCCGTTTTGTGGCGCCCCTCATGTGCTCCATGCAATTACCTATCGCCGCATTACTATCTCCACCTTGGCCTTTCTGACCTCTCACCTGGCCCTTTTTTGACCTCCACCTTTTGCTTGCCTGGGCTCGTGAGCAAGCGAAGCTTGCGAGCTCAGCCGCAGCACCCTAGTCCTTACCCCAAACAAAACCCCTCAGACGCACATGCAGCCTGTTCGCCCCCCTCCCCCCCTTCTAATGCTAACAAACCCAACACACACACACACACACACACACACACCCGACAAAAAAATCCGCACGTGAGACTGACTAGCCCCGAACTTTAAATCTCGCAACCAAAGAGGAGGGGCAAGGGGGGGGGGAGGATCCGAAAGTAAATCGACAAAGATTGTCCTTACAACTAGTTAGACTTTTGCATGGTTCGAAAAAGGTTTCGCGACGTGCGAAGCAAGGAGCGTTTTCGATGGAGCATAAACGTAAATGAACCAACGTGGAAAGTGGGGGGTGGGGATGTAGGGGAGTTTTTTTTGACGTTAATGCATGCACTATGCAGCGGCTTTAAAACTCCGATCTTTTTGATTTCCTTTCACAAAACGGGGTTTGTTTGTTAGGCGTGCTGCTTTTGTGTAGCTTTACGCGCGTAAGGGCAGGGAAAGAAAAGGATGTGATTACTGGACTTGGACGCGAGTGTTGGGTGCAGTGTGATGTGCTCGTTGATGCTAAATGACTAAGTTTTAAATTGTTTTTCTTGGTTCGGGGGCAAGGGTAGGTGCTTATGCATTCTCTCCATGTGGGTGAGTGTTTTGTGTGGGTGGGTGCTGAGTGTGTATGTGGGGATACGGATGCCGATCGACTAGGAAGAGAACTGGCGGTAGCGGATAAGATAGGTTCGGGTGAGAGAATGGGAGGGGGGGGGCTAGGCTTCAGAAAGATTGAGGGGTAGTGGCTGACTGATTTCTGGCTGAGGAATTGGAGGCCTGAAGGCGACAGGGAGGTGTGGAGGAGAAGATGGTGTGTGCAGAGAAGGTTCGGTGCGGACAGGGCTGCGGGAAGAGGGAATGATCTTGGAGCCGAAAGCTTGTTGCCGAGTGGCGCAGAGATGCAGGTTAGGCCCAAGAGCGCCTTATGTCTTTATCGTACGAGAATACGAATAAATTAGATGCTAGAATAGATAAACTTTCAATAATATGAATTTATTGTAGTAGATATGCTACGTTACATGCTGGTCGTTTGCTCATGATGAGCCCAAAGTCCCTTTCCTCTAAATAATTACACCACCAAGAAACCAGAAAGGGTATAAACTATTATCTCGTAAGAATCGAAACGATCGAGAAGTAGTTGGAAGTCGTAATTCGTAGACCAGCGGGGCAGATGCCATGCCGCAGATTTTCGTGAATGAAGGGCGACAGAGACCATGGGTCTCCGGGAAAGCAGGCCGTTACAAGCGTGACATGATGAAGAAAGCGCGTAGAACATTTCCATGCAGAAATGCAACAGATATTGAAACAAGAATGACGGCGCGGAAAAATCTTCGCAGTAGCATTACACGCTTGGAAGCCAGAAGGAAAGCAGGAATTGCCCGACGAGGCGCGATGTATACTTTGTCTGGTTCGCGGGCGAGATGCTTACTGCTTGTCTTCTTTGTAGGAAGTCAACTGTTGTGTGTTAGCAGCAGTTCAACGTCCTCTCAATCACACCGGGATTACTCACTGTTCTCCTTCACCAACTGCGCAGTCTGCCTGACAAAATTTACACTTGATGCATCTCCAAATCCAACCTCCTTCTCCCAATCGAGATCGGCATCACGCATCGGATTACACTTGCGGTTGTACTTCCACCGGAAGATTTGTTGCACAAAATGCATCCTGTTGTCAATTTCACGACACGCTTCATCCGCCATATCCTGTGCGTCCCTTTGGTCGAGTCCTTCAGTCTGGGCTTTAGTCAACATCACCAGGTGAATGGTCTTCTGCTGGTCCTCAAGCGCCATGCACATGCCCAATACTGCAACAAAGGCCGCAAGCCATTTGTCACATCCTTTGGATGATTTGAGAATTTGTTGTAACTTGTTGAGGACATTGGCCTGGATGGATCGTTGAAGGCGCGAGAAAAAGTATTTGAGCTGTCGATTCGTCATGCGCGGCGATGTGAAGTTATCCACATAAGAGTTGGGGCCACCATATGAATGCATACGGGATAGTGTTGCTACCTTGGTTTCCTCAGCAATGGTGAGCGTGTGCGACATGATAAAGGTGACGATGATAAGGCGGAAGATTTCGCGAAGGAGCTTGGATTCGTCGTCCGACTTTGGCTTCACGCGCGTCATCAACTTGAAAAGCTTTTGCTGGAAGTCATTGTCGTCTTCCATCCAGCAGAGCTCGCCAAAAGCGTCGAGGTGGTGGTCGACGATGTCGGAAATGTACTTGTCGTACTTCTTCTCCTCGTTGTGATTGATGTGTACCATGCCCAATGCTGGACTTCGCTTCTTGATCGGAACTCTTTTCTGGGTCCTTGGGTCGAGCCTGTATTGAATTTGTACTAATAGCTCGTCTCCACGGGGAATAAACTCATAAACCTTGACAGGAATCCTGGGCATGCTGTTCTGACCGCATGTCATGAAAACTGTGAGTTCGTCACTGCCCCACTGCTGAATGTATTGGGTGACAAAGCGAGTGAGATTCGAATCTTCGTGCATCTGGGTGACGAGCGAGGGCAAGAAGTAGGGCGACAGGTCGATGAGCTTCATACGGTTGCATCCAAGACCGCAGTCAGCATTGGGCCGCTGAGATCGCTTAAAGCACCGGTCACAGATGTCTCCAGGACCGCATTTGTCTCTCTGCAACACACAATGCCAACATGCAACAATCTTACGCATGTCATGCGCTGCTTTGGCGACCGTGGGCTCCAAGTGAGTGCCCAGGGCTCTGCCCCCGGACTTCGCTGCTAGCGCTTTCTGTGCTGCACTCCGAGACGATTCCGGCTCAGGAGACGCATCGAAACTCATTTCTGGTACACCACTATGAATGACATGGTCTACTTTCAGAGTTTGCATTTGTGGTTGCTGCAAATTCCCGAGTTGCTGCGTCTGAAACTGATCCACCATCATCCCAGAGTCCGAATGCTGGTAGACTGAGTACATGCTTTCAGAACTTCCTGGGCTAGGTACAGATGGACTGATCTCTGGCTGGAAGGGAGAAGATGGGTGAAGGCCAGTTGCCGATGTTGCAGATGGTGATGCTGAAAAGGCATTATTGGTAGTAATGTAATTCTCAGTGAAGAGGCTAGAAGTGGCATTGTAATTGACGAAGTTCTGGTGGTCCGGTGGTGGTGAGCATCCTCTCTGCTGTATGTCTACAGAGCCACGATGCTGTGTGTCGAAGGAGCCTCGATGTTGCGTATCGAAGGAACCCCGATGCTGCGTGTCGAAGGAACCTCGATGCTGCGTATCAAAAGAACCCCGATGCTGCATGTCTAGAGAGCCACGATGCTGTAGTGGCGTCTGTGGGACTGGATCAAACGATGGAGCGAGGTTCTGTGTTGGTGAGAAGAACATGTTCTCATGGATTGGAATAGTGGGCTCGCTGGGCGAGATGAGAGACGAAGGGTCGGTGTAGTGTGCCGCCCAGGTGTCCACATCGACCAAATACTCGGAGTAGTTCACTGGGTCGCTCGCTGGGTCGAAGAGTACATGGCCCGACCTAGGTGTCATTGAAGATCTTGAGGGTCCCTGTCCGTTCCAAGGGTCATAGCGGGGTGGCTGGGTGGTGTAGTTCTGGTCGTACATGTTGTTCTGGGAGTGCATCATTGGCATTTGTTGCGCTTGGTGGGCTTGCATATTATACTGCTGCTGGAATACTTGCGGGTCGGCCATTGTAGCATTGAAGGCTGCTTGGACGGCTATAGGCGCGTCAGCAGAAACACGTAAACTAACCCAAGGGCAACGTACCTTGGTCGCTAAAGGTACCGTGAGCAGTAAAGAGCATGTTGGAATCCATGGTCGGTAGCCCAGTAGGCGAAGTCTGTGAAGCTACGGTATTACCGTTTTGGTGGTAGTAGTTGCGCATGGAGTCGGAGTCGAGCATCTCCACCTCGAAAGAGTCACCGTCCGGCGTCCTCACAGACGTAGGGGACGTTGAAGAGCTACCATTGTCCCATAACATGTGCTCAGGATCCTGGAGCAGTTCGGGCTGCTGTGATGGGCCCCGGCTCAAAGGCGGCGGGGTCGCAAGTGGTCCAGGCGAGTGCCCGGTATGATTGACCAGAGAGTCGGTTGGTGTCTTGGAGCGCTGTCGCGCATCGTACTGGCCGCCGAAGACAAAGGCATGGGGATCGACGAAAAGAGCTTGGTCTGGAAAGGCGTGGTACTGCTGCGAGTATGTCGACATGGCGCGCAAGTGGCCACTTGGGGCCAAACCAGAATGAGGGTCTTCCTAGAGCTTGCGCACCAGACCGCAGAGGGGAATCTTTGTTGTGAAAAGGGCCAAAAGGTCGACTCACGGGCCCACGATGATACTGAAGACGTGGAGCGGAGGTGGACGGCTTGTGCGCGCGCAGAAGAGCGATGCGCAACAAGGAACACAAACGAGGGCGATCCGACCAGAGTGATGACCGCTCACTACGACTCGAGAGATAAGACACAAGAAGAATCTGTCTCGGAGCGGCTGACGGGCAGAAGTTCAGACGGCGACGGCATTCAAGCACATCTTACGCTGCCCCGCGAAGACCGGTGAAGAGCAACCCGGCAAATGCAAGCTATTGGCTTAGCTGCATGCTTGTGTGCAACATTTAGATCACACCAAGCCGCAACCAACCTTCGCGCCGCCCCGCGCTGCACTATAAATCACCCATTGTTTGAGCTCATGATATCAATGTACAAGTGGCTGGGCGCGTTTCTTTTCTTCGGTCTTTGCGTTGCGCTTTTTGCACGTCCTCAAGGCGGGTTTTGGAGTGCCGGATCTGGGTTGCAGCCGCCAGCCTGTCTGCCCCAGGTATAGACGCATGCAGTGTACTGCTGGCTGCGCCTTGTTCGCTAAACCGCTCCCAAACAGTGGCGGGTGCTGAAACGAATGGCAGGTCAGACAGAAGGTAATGGGTGGCAGAGCACCGCCGAGTTTTGCTCTAGCGCGGCTCTGCTGTGTTCACCGGTGCGACAAGCTGCCAGCTCATGCTGCAAAAGACTGTCATCCGTCCGGAAACTAGACTTGATTGTTCTTCCAGCCAGTGTCTCGTACCAGCCTTCGCGGTCTGGATGATTGCTTCGATGCGATACGAATCTTGTGGTACGCCAGTACACACTGAGAACTGAGAGCAAGTCAAGTAGCTGGGCAAGCCCCGCGGGTATCGCGCGTGATGAGTTTCTCGATTAACTTCACGTTCTGTTCGATAAACGGGCAGGGGCCTTTGCTGTAGGTGTGACGATAGTAGGGAAAACGGGAACGAAGGATCCGTGGTGAGAAACCATGTCGATAAGCGTAGGCTTGCTACTCTCGGCCGTGCTTGCTCAAGTGGGCGTGAGGGAATTCGGCAGGACACGACACTATGCCGCATTCGGCATGGCACCATGCTGGGCACCGGTGCAGCCTCCCGTACCACATGCACTCAGCCAAGATAAATACAGTTTCTATCCAACATGGCCAAGGTGGCTAGACAACGTCGAGTACCTGACCAACTGTCATGCTTGACATAGAGAAAGTAATAAGATTTAGGATCTCCACCCGACATGGACAAAGCATCCGAGGAGAGACCGGAAAAGAAAATAACTGTGCGAGAGGAGAATTCGTCACGGACAACTAGAAGCATATTCAAAAGCAAGAGACTTGTGTAATCAGCCTAGATGCGAGAGAAACGGATACTTGAGTAGTCATCAGTGGAGTGTACAGCACTGTTAAGGCAACTCGTTTTGATAGCTGGAGAGCCTTGACCGCACGACTGTACCAGATAGGAACGGTGTACAGAAGCTGACCCCAAAATAGAGCCAGAACACAGATAATTTATAACCGACTCTTGAAGAAGCTACGTCAATTCAGAGGCTTGTGGATTCAATAACCTTGAGTAGGTGCACTTGTGTTTTGATCACTGATGACTTTGCTGTACGCTTCAGATAGAAACTTGCTATTCTCTGAAAAAACGCATATAGGCGTAGACTTACCCGAAGGAGGCCTTGAAAAGAATCGGTTTCCCCATCACGACAGTGCTTCAGTTACGAATCAATCCGTATCCGATGTTAACTGTACAAAATAGTTCAATGTCCTAATTAGGTATTTTAGTCATAGCCACGAGCTCTAGTCTACAATTCATCTAGATCAGGGGTATGATGCACGTTCAAACGCTTATGTAGGACCCAAAATCGCTCCCTTGGTTCAATTTTCCAGCCTCGTTTCGAATGACCTATGATAGATTATTGGCCCCAGTGATTGTGTAAAGTGAATTCGAATATGGTAAGTGGCACCCTTGCACTACGAATAGGACCGACAAACAGCCAAGCTTACGCAAGACGGAGAGCTCGATGTAATAATTGCGACCCAACTCTCCTCCATAGTATGTAATTGGCCTCCAGTCATTACGGTTGTAGTTCTTGATGGTAATATGATACTAGGATTTGGCAGGTGGAAATATGGTTACGGCTGATAGCAGAAAAGACTTACGCAGAGAGTGTGATGACACCTGCAGGTGGGTTCAAAGAGGCATTTCACCGGGAGGGACACTCGCCAGCCCTATTACAAACATGTACCCAAGATTCTCTCGAAAGAAGGACACAAAGCTCGGCATCTCAAAGAGACATGATAGTATGTCATTTTAGGCTTACCGGATATCTTACCGAACAATCGCGTGCGCTCAGGCATCTATTAGATGCATTTTTATTTTGTATTAGTAAGATAAGCCAGAAAAACTTCGAAAGCTGAAAAAAAAACGCCACGGAGGCTGAGGTGGGTTATGATACATAGTCTCATCTGCCTTGCCGACACTGTTACATCATTGGTTGCTTGGATGGGAGGAGTGTGTCCCGATTTCACCTCATCCAACGCCCGACGGAGTACCCTTTGACCGCTAGAACGTTTGCAGGGTTTGACCCAGAAGGTTTGATCTGGCCCCTAACCGCCTAAGATAGATGCTGGCTATATATAATGACCAGCAAACTTGGCCTTAAGCTCCATGTGCCGATACAATCACATCACCAGCGCTTAGAGCTAGGGCATGTGATCAAACTGGCCGGACATCTGAATAGCCTTGTTGTGTATCGCATTTGTTTTTATGTAGACATGAAAGCCTAACGAAGAGAAGCTATGAGGCCGGCTTGCCTTCTGCTTCAAGACTTCCTTGGCATGCTCTCTTATCTAACTGAATTCAATCGACTCCTACAATTGCGAATACTCCGTGTCATTGAAAGAACTCCATTGGGTAACTCTCGAGTTGCATTAAGCTTAGCGCTGCCGATCTTAGCGCCCACACCGGGGTCTCGGAGCTAGATTCATGGGCGCTCGGAATAATGGCACTGGGAAACACAACATCTGCGACAACAAGTGTGGAAAAACACCCCACCACCATATCTTTCCCATCCAGAACTTAATTATAATACTCGACATGCTGCGGAGAAATGGAAAGCCGAGGTATGTGGTCACTCCAGCCGTCAACCTACGGTGATGGCGATGGTGCACGCTAGCACTGCACACTGTCCGTGACCAGGCGCAGAGCCTGGAAATGGCTTAGGGATGCTAGCTCCCGCCCAGGGACACCGGATGCTAAATAAGCACAGGTCATGTGAACCTTGTCGCATCTCAAAGATCAAGTGCGACCATGCAACGCCTACCTGCCAGAAGTGCCATGCTCGCGGGATCACGGAGCAAGTAAGTAGATTTCACACGATATTTCACAAGTATTCATGATCATACACTTTTCCTACATCAGGAGAACGCTGAAAGGTACTAAACAAATTCATTCATTATGGTTGGCAAGTCAATTTCTCCAACCCAGGCGGATATTCCGAAGGTATTCGGGAGGCCTTTGGGACCGGAATGCGGTCCCTGAATGCTTGCGTCACCTAGTGATAAAGCCATGCATGTATGGGTCACACTAACACCTATAAGTGCTTCTATCATCCTAATCCGATGACCAAGCCGGCCGGAACACCACGGAAGAAACCAGAGTCACGTCGGAGAAAACTAGAGGCACAATCTATAAACGGCCAAGGAAGACTGGCGTCACTAACACTCAGTCCCCCTACTCTCAGAAATGATGCTGATCCAGGGGCGGTGAGTAATACATGGCCAACACCACCAGAACCTGCCATCAGAACGCCCCAAAATGTTTCTCATCCAGCAAGAAACTTTTTCTTGGGATCAACCAGCTATGCCTCCGTCTTCACGGGTGAGCACCCGTTACCCACGCCCATGGACGAAGAATCCTCAGAGCGGCCTATTCCGACTTCCCCAGTACCTACCAGAAGCATCGGACATCGTCACTGTCAATTTGCCTTGGGAAACCTGATAGTTTCGTCTCTCTCGCCATTCAGTTTCTTCGAAAAGTCTTTGACATTGTTCTTCGAAACACAAAAAACTTCTCCCATCGTTGGGCCATTGATACTCTCCGCACTTCCTCAACTCCGTAAAGACATGGAACTGTTAAAGTCTGCTGATAATGATGTGTATCCATTATATGCCGAGATGACCAGGAACACCGCACGGCCTATGAAAGTGCCCGCAGGTATGCGGCCAGCCGAGTTTCACACGCTGTTCACTGGAAAAAACTTGAGATGGGAGACATTAGGCCTTGTTTTGGTTCTTGCCGGCTTCAAGGCCCAGTTCACGGCGCCAAATGATCCCATGTTCGCACTAGAGGGAGGCGAGGTGATGAAAAAGGATGAGTTTATTGAAGATGTCATGCATGCTACTAACGTATGTATCAACATATGCCAGACACATGGCGCAGTGAACGAGAGTAAGTGAAGGCCGAAACAAGTCACGGTATTTGCGTTTTGCTAACAGTTGCAGTCATGGTATGTCTTGTCTATATCAATATGCTAGTGGTTAGTAATTATTATGGAGACAATCGTGAGTACAGTACCGTAAACACGTACGCTATCTTGGGTACTGACTTCGGAGAAGACCATGGAACATGGCGACGCATGGGCGATAGTGTCAGTGCCCTATACGCTGCAGGAATACATTGCGAAGCCTCCAGTTCAGAAGGAGAGAACTGTGAACCCTTCTTCATGCGGGAGTTTAGGCGAAGGCTATATGCTGCAATCTATCGCTCAGACAAGACACTGGCAGTGTTCTACGGGCGCCCTCCATTGATGGGTTGGAGATACAGTGACCGAAAGATGTTACTAGACATCAGTGACCAGGCCATAATCTCAGAAGATGCGAATGTACTGAGTGCAGAGCTTTCGAAGCTTGACGGTGCGGGCTGGAACACTGAAGGATTTCTTAATCCTGCTACATTCGTTCGCCTAAGTTGTCAACTTAGTGTCTTCAAAGAAAGGCTGCTAGAACAAAGTCTTGCTGGGGAGAAAGACAGTGAAGTGGTACGGAACATAGAGTAAGTTGACTCCTGGTTCATCTTGTACGAGACCTGACAACAAAAGAGCAATTTCAGCAGAATGCGCAGAGTGGTGGCACGCACTGCCAGCGTATCTCCGATATGAGACATACACAGACGATTCTGCCTGGAACGTTCGAGGACCTGGAGTAGCTGTACGCCTCATCGCTTGCTACCTGGATTATCTACACTTGGAATTCCAAACCCAACGCCTTCTCCACAAGATAACGCAACAAGCCCTTCCTGCACTGTTGGAAGTATCACTCAAACTCCTTGCAACATCCATTGTATCAACCATGCCCAACAATCGTGTTTACGAGACCCGCCGCCACTTTCCCACCGTCGTCCTCTTCTACTGCTTCCCAGCCGCTGGCGTAATAGCTCTAGAGCTACGCCGCTGCACAATCGAGGGCGTCCCGCTCCCAAGTACAATATCGCGTGCAGATGTGATACGGAATCTCTCTATACTAACATCATGCCTTGAATGGATCATTCTCCCCGGCGACGGAAACCACAGACTCTGCAGCGAACTCAACAAGATGCTTGCGGTGGTGCTAGACGAAGTCCTCAACTATGAACCGCCTGTAAACCGCAACCAGGAGAGTGGGGAGGATGCAGAGAATATGTTGGCAGGTGCCGGACAAGGGATTCTTGATATGCCCATGATTGAGGGGCTGGAGCCGATACCTACTGAGGCTGAGGATTTTTTGAACTGGCTGGACAATGCTACGTGGAACGGGGCAGTGAGCTGATCTGGGATCTGGTTGCATTTGCCGTTTTTGGGATGGGTGATATCTATGTAGGGCTTCTGAGCAGGTTATCTCAGTACATGGATGAGATGTGGGTGGCAGAATTATACTTGAACGACCCTTGTAAATACTCGATTTAGAAATCCAGCCCCTTGTGCGAATCAGACTCTTTTGTTACATAAAAAGACATTTACTAAGCTTTCAAAGCATCATGTCCCCAGTTCTTCAAACTCTTATAACTCTTACTCTCAGTATCTTGCTTGGCCTTTTCCTCCTGGGCCAAATGTCTCTTACAATACGCCACCACCTTTCTCATATGATCAATATCTTCTTGCTAAAGATGCAACAACATCAAGTTAGTCCTGGCGTGTAATGCGAGCTGTACTCTGTGATCGGATGCAGGACTTACGTCGTACTTGCTAGGATCTTTGTGCGGATTCTTGGACAGGATGGAGACGATGCGTCGGCCCGATTCATGGCCAACTGTTTCGCCGTTGGACGAGGAGCCGTTGGTCCAACCTGCACTCTCAGACTCTTGGCTGCCGAGCCACTCTTTGAGTTCTTCGGCAGTCATGTTTACGAGTTCGTTGAACTCCCTGGGGTAAAGATGAGCATGCATCAGGTAGTAGGCATAGACGCGCGAATCACGAACTCAATCACGGTGTCGTTGTCTTTGACCATTTTGCGCAGCTAGGTTGAGATGAAGATGTTTTTTTCTCAATAGATATGCCTCAGGTTGTCTCGGTGTAATGCTATGTAGGTTACTGCTGTGGTTTCTACACCTTGTCTAAGACGGTTAGTGACGTCATGACATTGCCGTTCCTGGTGACGGTTGGACTATCGCACGTGATGCGGCTGATGCGGCTGGTGCGGCTCAACCGCGCGGACCGCTGACAACCACGTTAGTAGTAACGTACGGGCATCCTATCACTCTTATATGTTGATATATGCATGTGTGCTGCGAACAATGAGGCTGCTAGATGGCCCAATAACTGAGTAACGTCCCGAGTCATGCTCGCCGGCTTGGAAAGCACAGTGCGTTATCTGTGTGCATTTTCAATCCTTCAGGTGCACTAAACCTCAAAGGGCGACGACGGCAAGCCGCAACTTGAAAGAATTCGATACCTGATATCGCAGCATATATATACAAACTATCTTATTATCATTCACCCATGAGTGTTGAGAATCCCTTCTGCCCAATTTGTCCCGTTCAACATCCCGGAGAAGTGGCGAGGCATCTCCAGGTCCCCGCACCACCACCACACCTCCGCAACCCCCTTCTTCTCCTCACCACCACACCTCCACTACCCCTCCGAGTTTTATTCACGCATTCCCCACGGCTTTGGAACTGCCGAGGATGTATTTCCTCCTTTTCTCGTGCGATGCGGGCCACTAACAAGCCATTGGAAAATTCTTGGTGGCTTCCTTGAGCCTCAAGTGGGTCACCTCCGCCGATCTGAGACCGAAACCTGGCTCATGTTGCATTTTCAATGGGTCACAATCCTGCTAGGTCCGAGTCTGTCTGCACGCGGTCGGAGATTGAAGGGCAAAATAAGCGAGTTCATAAACATTGGCCCGGCTCGAGCGGCAGTTGTTGAAGAGGCGGAGAGAAAGCCGGGGGGACGATGGAGTGATGTTGAGGGCAGCACGGACGTGTATCGACTTCAAGGCGCCCCCATCCCCACCTCCATCGCAAAGTGAAGTATCTTCACCGACGTCCGACCGGCCCCTGGGCGTACACGTCGCCTTGATTTAGCACCGTCATGTACGTCACGCGACAATGGCCCTGTCTCTGCGAACCGGTTGTGCGGCATAACGGGCGTCAAGTACGCGACGCGGTGCCACCCGTTGTGAATGCGGGGTGAACATCATCAGAGGCGCTCGTGAGGCTCACAGTCTTTCAAGCAGTAGGACACCATATGGGCCGTCCGCGGTCAGATGCTCATAGGAGAACCCGATCCAACTCCTGCGATACTCTGGTAGCGCAACCACGGTCATTGGCCCTCTCCGGAATAGTCGGCGGAGCAGCCTTGGCTATCGACTCGCGACCAACTTCCCCACATGTCGGTCGCTAGTTCCCCAGCAGCCATGTTGCGTGGACAAGCCCACTACTGCAGTTTCACGAGCTCAGGACGGAATTCGTTTGGCTGTTGCGCAACTCGAGCCAAGAACGTAGGGTCCATCCTGCCCGGGGCGCCTGTGACGGCGTGGCGGCGATGACGTACAACCCCGGAAGAGCATGTCTGGGCGCAAAGCTGGGCGCAACACTGGGCATTACCGCATAGCCAAAGTCGGCAAGGGATTGGCGACGATACTTAAGTCCTGGTGGGTTCGCGAAGGGCAGAACAAGCAATTTTTCAGATTCCTTCAGCATTTTCGCTGGGCTCAATCTACTACCGTCATCATGGGTTTGGGCACAGTGTGAGTTTGAAAATCATACACAACATGTATGCGCATTGTTCTAACGCATGATAGTTCCGTCAAGGTTCGCGGTGCCGCAGTCGGTACCGAGGCCATCATGCTCGGTGTGATTACATCGATTGGTGGTTTCCTGTTTGGTTACGATACTGTATGCTTTGAGATACTTCCTGCTCTTGATCAAACATTTTTCTGATTGTGTATAGGGTCAAATCTCCGGTATTCTGCTGTTCCGCGACTTCATTGACCGCTTTGGACAAGATCAGGGCAATGGTCAGGTTGCGTTTGATCCAACTATTTCGTCTCTGCTCGTCTCGCTCATGTCTATTGGTACCCTTTGCGGCGCACTTGCCGGTGCATACACTGCCGACTTTTTTGGACGTCGCAAGAACCTTACTGTTGGTGTGATCATCTTCATTGTTGGAAACACTATCCAGGTCACTGCCATGAACAGCTGGGTCCACATGACTATGGGTCGTATCGTTGCTGGTGTCGGTGTCGGTATCCTGTCCATCGGTGTTCCCATGTACCAGTCCGAAGTCTGCCCCCGTGAAATCCGTGGCCCGGTCGTCGCATCATACCAGCTCATGATCACCGTTGGTATTTTGAGTAAGTGTGGCTTCTGTCCGTGCATGTAGATGATACTAATATGCTTAAAAGTCTCCAACATCATCAACTACGGTGTCCGTGACAACCCAGGCCAGGATAACTCTGCATCCTGGAGAATCGTCATTGGTCTTGGTATCGCCTTCTCGATTCCTCTTGGTTTCGGTGTTCTATTCACCCCTGAGTCACCTAGGTGGCTGGCCGGCAAGGGTCGATGGGAAGATGCGCGTCTCGCCATGGCTCGTCTCCGTGGTCTCAAGCATGACCCCAACAACCAGTTGGTTAACGAGGACTTCAAGGAAATGGAGGACTCCATCAACGAGCAAAAGAGCGCCGGTCAGGGTACCTGGAAGGAATGCTTTGCTCGCTCATCTTCTGGTATTCCCCGTGTTGTATACAGGACGTTCCTTGGCTGCGCCCTTCAGTTTGCGCAACAGTGGACTGGTGTCAACTACTTTTTCTACGTAGGTCTTAGTGGACGCCCATCGAAACGATTTGTAACTAACCAATCTACAGTACGGAGCAACCATCTTCCAGTCCGCTGGTGTTCAAGATCCCATCCAGGTTCAGCTCATTCTTGGCGCTGTCAACGTAGCCATGACTTTCCCTGGTCTCTACCTCATCGAGAGACTTGGTCGCCGAATCCCACTGATTCTCGGAGGTCTCTGGCAGGCAACTTGGCTCCTCATCTTCGCTGTTATCGGTGTTGTTTTGCCCCCAACTGAGAACGAGGTGTCTGGTATCGTTATGATTGTCGCTGCATGCATGTTCATTGCAAGTTTCGCTGCCACCTGGGGACCCTTTATTTGGGTCGTCATTGGTGAGACGTTCCCTCTGCGGACACGTGCCAAGCAAGCTTCTTTGGCTACGGCCTTCAACTGGCTTGGTAAGCCACTCCTTGTTCCTGCATATGTCGTGTTTACTAACAAAACCCTCCAGGTAACTTCTTGATCGGTTTCCTTACGCCATATGCCGATGATGGTATCGGATACGCCTTTGGCTTCGTCTTCTTCGGCTGCAACTTTGTCGCAGCCGCCATTGTCTACTTCTTCCTTTTCGAGACCAAGAGTTTGTCTCTCGAGAATGTGGACATTATGTACTCGGACAACAACCTCTCTGCCAGGTCCAGTAAGAAGTGGGTACCTGCCGGATACATTACGCGTAATGAACGCGACGACGCTTACTGGCAACGCCGCCACAGCGCTGTCGCTGCTAATGGTGGTGCACCTGGCAGCGTTACTGAGAAATACAATGACAAGGACGACAGCTCACCCGAAAGGGGCATGTCGTTGCACCAAGAGCGTGTCAACTAAGCGCATAGTCTCTTTGTAATTTAGATAGCACCGATAAAACGGTGTTCCTTCTTTCCCTGATTTTCCTCGGGCAGAATCGTGCCAAGGTACTCGCATCGTATCGCATGACTGCTTTTTAGCGCTGCATCTTGGCCTAGAGGAGTGTCACATCACATATCTATACCCCCAAATCAATTCACGTTAAATCCATTGAAATCTTACATGTGTTTGAAATGTGACTTTCTCCTTCATCTTGACAAAATCAAATGTTCGAACAGACGTATAGATACAGAGGAGTGGGAGTAAAAAACATTACGTTATCTTACCCACCGTTGTTTGCCAACACAGCCACGCAGCCCACCCATGCCAAATTTAGCGTGGCGCAGTGTGCACACCCGACATACGCGTCAGCCCTTTTGAACCACACCTTCTGCCCGCCCGTTTGTTTATTTGCCATTCCTATCCCACAACTTTTATTATTGGTAAAGAAGACCAACCCAAAATACAACAACCCAACAACCGAATCTATCTCTTTCCCTTCGCCTATTCTTTTTCTCCTGGAGTACATCGGGCTGGTTTGTACTTTTACACTTCCGGTTGGGGATCCATTCGCTTCAAGGCCCGGCGTAAAGACGGTGTGTGTGTACCACCGCATCAACAAAGAAGAAAGAGACGGGAAAAGCCAGAAAAAAAAGAGAGTCATGGCACCGACACTCGCTTTCGAGTCGCATATTGAAGAGTTTGTGCGGAGAGCAGCAGCTTTATCAACTTCGTCTTTCGCTGCTTCTCTTGAAGCTTCTTCGAGTTCAGAGCAAGTGTACGCGCGGCATGCGTTCGTAAGGAGAGATCTTAGCGTCAACCACACCCAGGGTGTGACGCTGGGTGTGATAGGAGCGTATGTGGTTGTTATTGCGTTGTTGTGGAACTTACCGTATGTGAGGTGGGTTTTGTGGCCGTTCAAGGTACGTTTGTTTCCCTTTTAATTTTCCATATTCCATACCTTCCCGTAGACTCTCCACCTCTGTTTCTACCTCGTACCGTCTCCAGTAGAAAGAAAGGAGCAAGAGTGCAAAGAGAAGGATGATTTCCGTCGGTTTTATCAATGAGAAAAGGGATTGTGATGGATGGAGGGGGGATGAGGAAAGTAAGAGAGCTGGGCTGACGAGATAAAACAGATGCTCGTCATCGCCTTCCACGAATTCTCCCACGCAATCACCGCTGTCTGTACCGGCGGCCGCGTCGAATCCATCTCGCTCGACCCCCATGAAGGCGGCGTCACGCACATGCGCGGCGGCAAGCAAATCGTCACGCTACCCGCTGGCTACCTAGGCTCCTCGCTCATCGGTGCCCTTCTCACCTTTTGCGGCTTCAACATTGTCGCTTCCAAAGTAGCGAGTATCGTGCTGGGCGTGTGCTTTTTGCTCACGCTGTGGTGGGCGCGCAAGGATTGGTTGACGATTTTGACGATTTTGGGGAGTGTGGGGTTGTTGGTGGGCTTTTGGTTTATTGAGCATGGCGAGGCGTTGAGGTTTTTGGTTGTATGTTTTTCCCATTCCCCTTTTATTTGTTTGTGATATGCGACTGCTAATTTGTGTGCGTTTGAAACAGCTTTTCATTGGTGTCATGTCGTCGCTGTACAGCGTCTGGGATATCTGCGATGATCTTATCCTGCGCAAGGTAAATTCTTCAGACGCTAGTGTCTTTGCGAAGCGCTATGGTGGTTCCTCGCAGTGCTGGGGCGTCATTTGGTCGATCATCTCGCTGCTGTTCATGGTTGGTGGTATTTTGGCTGGATTGGCAGCGTTCAAGCAGAGCTTTGAGCAGCAGCAGAAGGACAGCCAAGGGTTTATTCCTACGATGCGGTAGATGAAGTGGTTATACTCGGCGCATGCTATAATGCTGTTTGGAAATTATGCATTTATGATAGTTATTGGTTGATGAAACATGTTAGTATATAAACCTCCCTCTGAGGTTGAAACCTTCCGCTGCGCAGAATCATGAACATCGTTCAAGCGCTACCAACTCAATCCCGCTATCTGGTGAAGAATGAGATAGTCTGGAACTACACTCCGGAAGTGTCTTCGCCTGCTGTGTATCTTTGTAACACAAAATACAGCATTGCTGGGTTTGCTTCTGTGCAATTGGCCCTTGCCGTTAGATGCTGCAACGACGATGCACAGCTGCTCTACCATCAAGCACTGTAGTCCCACTGCTCTGAGGATCTAAACGATTCTCTATCACTCTTATATATAGTTGCGAGATGCTAATCCTACGCCCACATCCTTACATACCTCGCACTGCGCACGAAAAGATATGCTAATACTGCCTGTATACTCTCCAGTTTTTTTCTAATTTCTTGCAGGTTCTAAATATATTTTTCTTTTATAGAAGACATCACGTGAGTGGGCAGAGTGGGGGCAGAGGGGCGGTGCCAAAGATGCTTATATCATATCAACGCTCTAATTAATGTGGTTTGGGTTTATACATTTGGTACTACCCAAAATGAAACTAAAGGAATTTTGATCAAGTGCAGCCTCTATTACATGCACTCTGGATTTTTACACAGCAGGGTTTTGTACGCTTAGCAGTCTGCATTGTACACCCCTGCGATGCTAAGATGGCTAAAGCTGTGGCGCAGGTCAGCCATTGAAGCCCACCCCAACGCTTAGCAAAGCGAGGCAGTGTGCTCCTTTCCCCACGTGTGAACATATTCTTACCCCGCCTCTATCAACGTCAACGGCGGCACGAGAGAGCGCGGGCGATTAATCTAATAGCTTGTCAGGCTGTTGTGCCTCTGTGCTGTCCAGCCTGATGCGACCAAGGACCGAAGCTCCTCCATCACACCATGCGACTGCTCGAGATACAACAAGATGGCACAATTGCGCTCACAGAGGACCTTGTGGGCACCGATAACGTGCCCAGCTACGCTATACTCTCGCACACCTGGCTGTCTGGTCAGGAGGTCACCTTCGACGAGTTTACCAGAGGCCTTGGACGTGACAAGGCTGGCTTCGACAAGATCCGCTTCTGCGCACAGCAGGTTCAGCAGGATGGCCTGCGGTACTTCTGGGTGGATACATGTTGCATCAACAAGGCAGATAATGTCGAGCTTCAGCATGCGATTAACTCCATGTTTCGTTGGTACCAGGGAGCTGCTCGATGCTATGTTCTTCTAACAGATGTACTTAGCGCTGAGCCAGCGACTGAGCATGTGCCCAGCATACCTGTATGGGAAGAAGAGTTTAGGCGAAGCCGCTGGTTTACTCGAGGTTGGACGCTCCAAGAGCTGCTTGCCCCGCGCGTTGTAAGCTTCTACTCTAGAGACTGGACGCATCTAGGCGAACGAGACAGCCTAAAACAACTCATCCACGAGATCACAAACATTCCCTGCCCGGCCCTTACAGGAGCCCCATTAAATACCTTCAGCGTAGAGGAGCGCCTGTCTTGGTCCAACCAGCGTCAGACTATGCGTGAAGAAGACAAGGCGTACTCGTTGCTGGGTATCTTTGGCGTCTTCACGTTCCTCAACTATGGCGAAGGTGAGACCAATGCTTTCAAAAGGTTACGAAAAGCGATCGCAGAAGACTCACAGGAATCGCCCCAGCCACAGGCGTCAGCGGGGAGCCTTGGAGGGAGTATCGCAGCCTATGCACCTCGTAAGTACAACGGCAGTCGGATAAGTAGCTTGTTGCGTATCTAATCTGTTTACGCTGCAGCTGTCCAAAAACCCTCCTACTACATACCATTTCCCAAGAACCAATACTTCGTCGGAAGGAGAGAAGAGCTCGAGATCCTCAAGCAAACGCTGCTCGAGGACACAGGATGCCAAAAGATGTCGATTGTGGGACTCGGTGGGGCTGGGAAGACTCAGCTAGCCTTGTCGTTCGCATACACAATTAAAAAGACCATGCCAGCCGTATCGATTTTCTGGATGCCTGCACTCAGTATGGAGAGCTACGAGCAAGCCTGCGTGGCCGTTGCCGCTGCTTTGCACATCAGCCAAGCGGAGACGAATAAAGACAACATAAAAGAGCTAGTGAAAGAGCATCTAAGTACAGATCAGGCAGGACCCTGGCTACTTGTGCTCGACAATGTAGATGATCACGACATCTTATATGGCACCGAGCATGCTGCGGGTATCATCGACTACCTGCCGGAGAACGAGAAGGGCATGACCGTGTTCACTACACGAGTGCAAGAGCTAGCCGTGTCTTTGACGCGAGGCGACGTTCTGGAACTGGGGTCTATGAGCAAACCAGATGCCATGAACTTCTTGGAGAAGTCTTTAATCAGAAAGAACCCCACTGAGGAATGCGAAGAGCTATTGAATGAGTTGACGTGCCTTCCTTTGGCAATCTCCCAGGCTTCCGCGTACCTGAACATGAACAGAACAACTATTACAAAGTATCTGCGGCTACTGAGACACACAGAGCAAGACACCATCAATCTGATGAGAAAAGAATTCCGGGACCAAACACGCTACAAGGGCTCGGCAAACGCAGTGGCCTCGACGTGGGTAGTATCGTTCAGTCAGCTCCGAGAGCGCGATATAGTGGCAGCAGATCTGCTGGCATTCATGTCGTGCATCGAGTGGAAGGCAATACCTCAGTCGCTGTTGCCGAAAGTACAGTCGCAAGAGCGATTAGAGGAGGCTATTGGCACGCTCTGCGGTTACTCGTTTGTATCGAGGCGGCAAGGCGATAACACTCGTGAGGTTGATGGAGAAGAAGAATGGTACGACTTACATCGACTTGTTCATCTGGCTACCAAAGTTTGGGTAGACAAGTGTAGTAGTGCTGCAAGTGTGGGCCAACAAGCTATGGCACGTGTTGTTGAGGTCTTCCCGAGCGATGAATATGCCAATCGGGCTGTATGGAGAGCATATATGCCTCATGCACTACGACTGCTGGATACAAAAACAACTGTTGATGCTCAAACCAGAGCTGACTTAAGTTATGTCGTGGCACAATGCCTACTCTTCGACGGTAGAGTTCCAGAAGCAACGAGGTGGGCGGAGGAGTGCTGCCGGTGCAGAGACGTGCTAGACGAAGATGATGCAGACCGACTGGTAGCCCAGCATCAGCTTGCTATTTCCTACAAGGCTAATGGACAGATTGAGGACTCTATCAGACTACTAGAGCATATAGTCAGAGTGGAAGACACTACACTCGAAGAGACTCACCCTGATCGGCTAGCGTCGCAGCATCAGCTTGCTATTTCCTATNGCTTGCTGTTTCCTACGAGGCTAATGGACAGATTAAGGACTCTATAAGGCTACTCGAGCATGTGGTTAAGGTACAAGCCACTACACTCGCAGAGACTCACCCTGATCGGATAAGTGCAGAGAAGTGGTTACACTATTTGACTTCTGATCAAGAATGAATTCCATTCTTTCTCCAACATCCTTGTCTCGAATAGTTTTTGGCAGTGTATCTTGACGAAACGCTTCAACATCCCCTCGGACGACTAGGCACATCAAAAAACTACATCTCAAGGATGGGGTTCTAGGAAAACGCACATAAGCATACTGATAATTGCGGCTGAGCAAAAGATCCATACATATCGTTGAACGCATCTCCAAAAACAAGTCTCAAGAGCTGCAGAAGTAACTCTATCCAATTTCGTAACGGGACCTAAGGAACTTACCTTGCCATCTCTACAAGGATTTTCTAGCAGGGACATGTGTGTCTGAACTATGTGGAGTTTGTAGTAGTAACATTCCTCGCAACCTAGATTTCTCTAGGAGTATCATGGTTGGAGCTATTATCTGATGTTGCAATTTTACAAAGACACACACATGTATATATTTCCTATGGCCCATTTGAGCTTTGTACACCGTTGGGTCAAAGAAGTAATATTATTTAAAGAAATTTTCCATGGTTCTGCGCGATGACATGTTCTGACAACTACTACTAACTACTATCGACGGCGGAAGAGAAGGGAAGGTTAAACCTTTTGCCCCTTGTACACAACCACCATTGCACGAAACCCCCCAAAAAAACCCAGTTATGAATGTATCATTGTGATGGTATTTCAAAAGGAAAAGAAAAAGGTCTCTGGCATTTATGTATTAGACTACTAACCGAAAGAGAAGAGAGGGAAAAAAAAAAGAGAAGAAGCCAATTTTCCAACCAAAGTAAAATAAATAAATACTAAACATGGTATCTAGCGAGAGAAGGAAAAAAAACACCATTATAATCGTAATCATAATCATAGACTAGAGTCGACAACGCCAGCTTCTACTGTCCAGGCACATGGGCCGCATTCCTAATATCCTTGGTGTCGATCCTACCGACAGCAGGATACATGTCATGTCTATCGATATAACTCTGGGCCGTGTTAACATTGTGCAGGTCGGGATTCCCAGCGCCGTCGCTCTGCGCAGTTTGAACGTGCACAAGCATATTCTTGTCAAACTCGGCGCCGCCGCCGCCGTTTACAACGGCTCCCCCGTCTTTGACGGGAAACACCTTGGCTTCGCCGCCGTCTTCAGCAATGGGCGGGATACCGTTGTGCTGGGGCTCGAGCGAGAGGGTGTGCATGCGGGAGTCCAGGTTGTCGGTGGGGAGTTGGGGGGACTGGGGGATTGCGCCGACGGATTTGGAGCGGACGGCTTGTAAGGGGCTCATGGCGTCGGAGATGGGGTCTTGGGTTTCGACTGCGGAGAGGGAGCGCTGGGGGTCTACGGTGGGAACGCTGTTTGAGCGCTGTTTTTCCAGTGTGGGTTGTTGCGGGGTTTGCTTGGTGCTCTTGTTCCAGGACTTGAATTTGAAGGCTGAGAGCCAGCTCGGGCGCTTTTCTTTGCCTGCATTCGGGTTGATGGCGCGCTCGGCAGCGAGCTGGATGTGGGATTTTGCTTCAGGTTTGCGAGTGCCGGGTAGGAGTACTTTGGGAGCCGCTGACACGGGGGCTGGAGCGGGCCGTGTTTCCTGGTCTGATTTGCGGCGGACTGATTTTTCGGTGGTGGGTTCTGCAATGCCGAGCCCTGCGCGGTGTTGGGCGAGACTGGTTTCTTTGAGCTCTTGGCTTATGTACTGCAGTGCCTTGTCGATGACTTCAATGTACTCGGGATAGTCGACTTCACAGGCTTCACGAATCAGGCGGAGCTTCTCCCAGTCCTGTCTTACTGTCGGGCCGGTTAGATCAGGGTGCCAGCCCATGCTTTTGAGGTCAGAGCGAATTCCACGATCGACCTGCTCTTTTACGCCCATGAGATCAATCAGAGCATCAACCTCTGTGCGCACTGTCTTGACATAATCGTTGAAGCGGGCAGTGTCCTTGACCTGCCAATGCGATGTCGTCATACTCAGATTCCGCTTGAGACTAGAGCGAGCACCAGTTTGGTTAAGGAGATCTTTTAGCAAGCCATACTTTTCACGGAAACCCTCGAGCCGATTGCTGTCTAGAGCGGGGTACTCGGCCTTGGAAAAAGTCTTTGGGCTTTTCAGGCCGTACATGCTCATCAGCTCGTCTCGTGACATGTTGCTTGGTCGGCCCGCGATCTCGTGAAGCGCCCTTCGAATCTTGGCGTTAATGACCTCCTCATCGAGCCTGGGATCGCGCACACCAAAGTTGACGGGCAGAGTTGGGTCTGGATTTGTGATTCCAGGATGGCTTGGGATCATGTGTCGGGCAATTGTGGCAGGCGGCGCAGAGATGCCTACGGCGTCTCCAAAAATGAGCAGTCTGCCCTGCTGGATGCCGAGCTTGGCAAGCGCCACTTTTTGCGCATGGTCGTGGTCTTTTGTCGGGTGGATGCGATTGAAAGCCTCGACACAGGTGCTGAATTGCGAGGCCAGAGAGAAGACGTCGGTCAGCATCTGGGCCTTTGTCTTGGTCCCGGGCGGTTCTGTCGATTCGACATAGTCTGTTGTGGGCTTGGTGGACATGGTCGTTGTGGGTGGGCTGTGGGTGGCTTCGAGAGGAATGAAATGAAATGACAGTGGCAGAGGAGGAGAAAAACGATCGGATTAAAGGGGTCTTGAACGAGGGCCTAGACGCTAGGTGGCTACGTCAAGGAGCAGCAGCGGGAAGAGACATGCACCCATCCATGGTAATACATGGCAAGATGCAAATCAAACCAAATATTCACTGCATGTGCGCATGACGTGTGAGCATTTGTCCAGCGTCGAGGTGTGGCGCAGCGGCATGCACAAGGGCGCGGGGCTTGCTGGATCGGCAGGCCGTTTATCCTGACTTGGCTTTGCTTGCCCGCCCGCCATTCGCGCCCTTGGCCTACGCCCACAGCATTCAAGCATCGGCATCCTCAATGCCAGGTCTCTTGCTGCATTATGTCTGTGGCTGTGCTATAATTTATGCCTAGAACCACCTCTCAGAAAAAAACCCCTCACATTGGCAGAGTCCATGTCGCGCAAAGCGCGCAGAGAAATTTTCTTGGTAAACTTTGCAGCCATGGCGACAATGTCTGCTGCTAGCCTGTTTGGACCATATGCACATACCTAGCACCTTGTCGTCTCAACACGGGGCAAAACGTAAACTAATTACAGGCTCAGGCTGAATGTCGGCCAACCCCCTGCCCTATGCACTTTGCCTGCTTCGTGGGCGGGTCTCTTGGCGACCATGGCATGTGGCTCCTACAGCTACGATGCTGCTCATCACGTTGGTTGAATGGTAAGAGTAGGCAATTTCCTCATTCATATCATCCATATCGTGAACAAAATAGGCAGTCGTCTTTTTCCATTATAAATCCACCGTCTTCAATAACATCATGAATGAAACAGGCGACTCTAACTGCCCGGCTGGCGGTGCTAAAGGGAAGTGTTACTTAAGCTCGATTTACTCTATTGATCCGTTATTCAAGGCAAGTTTTCCTTTAGCACCGCCAGAAATGCTGTTAGAGTTACCAATTTTGTATGTATGCTCTCGAGGATTGTGGTAGAAAATGAGGAGAGCTAATTTTTTTTAACTCGCTTTCCAGCTAGTCAAGCATCGGTGATTCTTTTGCTCATTACATGACCAGGCGCTATCTGAATACAGGGATTCCCAACATCTTTGCACGGTCAATCAGCCCACAGCTTCTCAGATCGCATTTTGCCGTGCACGAAACCCCCTTCAGAACCGCTCCTGATGTGCAGCAGAGCAGCAACAACACCCACATACCCTATTCAACCGCCATACACTACAAACCGTTAGCCTCTTACCCACCCTACCAATACTCACCCAATCTACTTACAAGCCTCGGTCTTCCCTAATTCACTCACCGTCAGCACCCTCCCTTCACCCCACCACCATCTCACAATACTCACAATGATACAACTCTATTCCCCCCGCAACCACCCTATTAGCCCATCATCTCATACATATCTTTCCCTCTTCCATCCCATCCCCACTTACAATTTCGAAACACGCGCAATTAGAAGAACAGCAATTCTTATCTTCAGAGCATGGCAGTCTGTCCTGTTGTCCCCACAAAAAAAAACACAATTTTATCAGCGGAGAATTGGGAGATGAAGAGAGGGGGGGGTAATTGTTGCACAAAGAGAACAGTGTCCAAGGAAAAACGTACGGGAATGCATGACCAGTATTTGGGACCCCAAGGGAGGCGGAGGTTAGGCAGGTAAAAGTCGGCCGTGGACTGTCCGAAGGGGCCCTTTTGGGGGGGTAAGGCGTGGGTGAGGGCGGTGAGAGTGGCTAGAATGAGGATGGGCGTGAGGAAGTACATGTTTTTGGTGGTGATGCAAAAGACTGGGGAATTGAGGGTGGAGAGGGTGTAGAAATGGGGTTCAGAAGGAGGAAAGAGAAAAAGTCGTTTCTGCGAGAAACAGGAAGGTCGTTGGGGGAGGGACATGGGCATAAATGTGTGTTAAGAGTAATCGCCATGCGTAACCAGGACCCCTTCAACGGGGTCGTTCTTTTTTTTCGGCCAAGAGAAGTACCCGACTAAGAAATGTCTTTTACTCCCATATGCTTACGTACTTTCTTTGTCAACACGTCTCACGTAGGATTACCCAGGGCTGAAAGAATCCAAGTGAGACTGCCATCCAATTCATACATCCTAGAATTTTTAGACATGTACGTAGGTAAAAAAAAAGCTTCCGGTTCCCTAGCTCGCACGTACACTGCTTGCTCGACAAGCATCTCTCCTCCAAAGCGTCAAGATCAGTAGCTCTCCAGGCCAGTACCAGAATATCTCGGTAGTAGATGACAGCAAAGCTACGTACAACTGCCGGACATTCCTGATTCCACCCCTCGTATCCCCTGCGGTTCCAGCACTGGGATCCGCTTTCGGACGCTCTTGGCGTGTGTGACTTTGCATCACAAGGTTCGATGCAATTGCGCAATCCACCAATCGATACCCTACTCTTGTAACGTTGATATCGCCATTGGTGCGCCGATTAAGGTTACGTATGTATGGGTGTGGCGCGGGTTTCGCGGGAAGCGCCGTACCGTACATGTCGGATGGGGCGGATCCCTGTAGACATGGACGCTACGTATGTACGTTACATCAGACTTAGCACTTGGCTTCCCGCAATGAGGTGGGATGCGCGTTGAGTAGTGTATGGGATATGTCAGTTCTTCCTGTTGGAAGTTGACTTGTATTATTTGGGTATATGTGGAGCTGGCACTGTTGGATATCTTGGATGCTCCGTCCCGTATTAAGCATCTGGAAAATGCGTATTGGTTTTGCGGTATCATTAGACGTAATACATTCGTTATGAAGGAAGTAGGCGGCGGGACATTTCGAATTAGACATGGTAATAGGGGCTTTTCCCTTCAGGCTTGTCCTCGCAAACGCTCCGTGCAGTGTTTGTGTCGCATATCGTCGTCTCCGTTTTTGAATTTTGTAGTTTGTTGCGCTCGATGCTGAACTCGTTTGTAACAACAATGTCACTATTCTGGCGGTTCAATGCACCAGGCCTACTTGGGGGAAGTACGTCATCGTCGATGATGTTACATTCACTGTCGCGTTGTGATTCGTTTCTCGGATGGGACACAGTGCTCCTGTGGCCTGTTCCGGGATGGTGGTTACTTTGCCAGATCATTGGGTATGAGAGACGCTTCGTGCTGGCTTTGGAAGCTCCGTACGAGCCGAATAAGGGTCCGAATAAGCGCACGAATGGGGCGCGGAGCATTGGAAGACAAGCGCAAATGATGCCGGCGTTTGCTTCAATGACGGACCATATTGTCGCGGGAATGGGGCCCCAGGTTGGATCTGGGTTGCTTGCGGATGCTGCAATGGTCGTAGCGCGATAGATGGATGCAAATGTTACACTTTGTAATGTCAGCAACTCGTCTTAGGCAGATATTCTCCAACACATACAATCCACCAGTGCCAAACACCAGTGCTACACCCAGTTTCTCAGTTGCGCCCATGGAGAGTTTTAGAATCTGTCGGAATGGCATGGCAAGAAGTACAAAGTCGGTGGTGATTTGGACGGTCGCATAGGAGATCCACCAGGGTTGATTGTGAAAACACTTGGCTCCCTCTATGCTATGATCCCAGAAAGCGGCAATCGGTGTACACTGGAAGATTGTAGCCAGGGTAAAGGCAATACCTGTAGTGACTATCCATACATCTAGGGCTATTTTAGCACGTGGGCTTATGTTATAGCGGTACAGATGCTTACTCATGACATGACATGCGATGCGGAAAGACTTTGTAATGATGGCGAAGATGCGATAGTACAGGCATACAACTGACATCTTATTGAACAGGAGAACCACTTTGTAAACAACTATGACAGTTAGCAAAGATGCCAGGATTATAGCAACGTCTTGCCTAGGTTGCATTCCTATGACAGAAACGGAGAGGTGCTGATGGGTCTACTTACTGTTTGCCCCATAGAACCATTTGCGAGCCGTCATCCGAGATTCCGCAGGTAGTGTCTTCCAAGGCCTCCCATAGCCATACACAACAGCTGAAGAAGATTAGCAGTTAATCTCCATACAGACCGATGAGCCTACCTTGACACTCAGTCAGTGTCAATAGGATCGAAGAAAACAAGGCTGCGATAATCAAATAGTCGTCCATTCCTAAGCCGCTTTTCTTGATGAATCGCTGAAAAATGCGTGCGCCGACGAAGAAACCAGCCAGTACGACAGCCAGCACGCTGGTGAGCCAGAGACCCCATCCGCGCTCAACTGGGCCTTGGGAGCCCAGGCCGACGTTGGGAGCCATGCGGGGTGAAGATGTATACAAAGTGTTAGGAATTGTTTACAGGAACCAAAGTCCCACGGATAGCGGAACCTGGCGGCATAACTAGCTCTGCTGGAGCAAGGTTGCATCCCAAGGAGCCCATGAATTGGCAGTACACAGGTACATACGCTATATGCAGGGTAAAGAACGTGAGCCGTGTGCCAGAGATACGAACCGACTCGCCTTGTGGGGGTCAGGTCAGGTCGACCACGAGGGCAAATGTTCCACTGCTAACGTGCCCTACGATTGGATCTGGAATTCCCGGTTTTCGGGACGGCCAAAAATGGGCTCTGCAACTGTCCGGGCGCAGTCAAGATTTTCCTTGCTAGGGTGAACACATTGTCCCTTGTACTGCGTGGAAAAGGTGATGATCAGCACGGTGACATTCACAGAAGAGGTATGGGCTATCTAACAGGGTGTCTTGGGTCAGATGGAGATCGGCGATGCGTACTTGTTCCGCTGATGATGCAAGAAGACTGGCATTACCAAATGCATTGCTCGCATCCATTACGCTGGAGCATGGTGCGAACATTTTGCAAGGAGACGGACACGAGAATCCCCTGCGGAAAGGATGCGCATAATTAGCGACTGGAAACTTGTTACAAGGCGATTAAGGCAGGTCATAAAAATGACCAGGTTCCATGCGACTGGGAAGGACGACAGGGTGTTTTCGGGACTAGCGCCCCCACGCGAAATGGTCAATGGATGCAACCGAGATGAACCTTCACCCGCCGTCGCCATGTCAAAAACGACGTCGATGCTTTGCCGTGCCGGAGCCCTACCGTGCACCCATTGTTCATCATCTGGCGGGCTGAGTAATTCTCGTCCTACTTCGGTTGGCATCCGTGTCTACTCCCCACATCATTCGTCCGGCGTATAATGGATGCCGTTGACGGCGACCAAGCGACATGGGCTACCAGCCAGCCAGCCCGCTCCCGTAGCCCAGCGGCGAACCATCGTGTGGGATTTGTTCCGTTATAAGCCCGCCGCCCACCCTTTATCGCCAGTCCAGCCACTCAAATCTTTACTGGGGCTACCGTGGTTTCGCGTTGACAGAGATGCAGCACATACTCCTTACCGCTGCAGCTATAGCCTCATTTTTTGGCTCGGCTATTTCAACGCCAACAAACAGGTCACGTGTTGAGACGTCAAGTGGCATTGTAGTCGGTCATCCAGCTTCTAACAAGACTCACGTGACTGAGTTTCTAGGAATCCGCTATGCTGAGGCGCCTGTAGGCGAGCTGCGGTTTGCAGCGCCCAAGAAATATCAAGCGCCGCCAGGGTCCGTGTTCGAGGCGGCCGAGTGGGTGGGTACTGTCCATGATACATTTCTAGAAGCATGCTAACAGATGTAGTCAGCGTATGTTTCCACGGTACCACGCGTGAAACGCATCTAACAACATTGTAGTGATTGTCCCGCTGTAAAGCCGCCCGTGTCTTCGTTTCCAAACTTTACACAGCCATCTGGCTTACGTGTATGGAAGAACTTTGCTGCACAGAACAACAACTCTGTGTCCGAAGATTGCCTGAAGCTTAACGTTTGGACGTCGAATGCCGGTAAAACTGACGCAAAAAAGCCGGTGCTTGTATTCCTCCATGGCGGACGTATGTTGCTACCTTGTGCACAGTCAAAAACTTGCATTAACACTGCTTAGGTTTTCAGATTCCTGGCCCCCACAGTCCCTTCTATAACGGCCAGTACCTTGCCGATGCCGAAGACGTTGTGGTAGTGACATTCAAGTAAGACCAATCGACTCTATACGCATGCATGTACTGACCAAATCAGCTATCGTCTGGGTATCTTTGGCTTTGCTGGTGCTCCTGGTATCGAGAAGAATGCTGCCCTTCGCGACCACCGTGCCGCTGTAGAATGGGTGCGTGACAACATCAAAGGCTTTGGAGGCGATCCCTCGCGTATTGTTATTTTCGGACAAAGTGCCGGTGGTGCTGCGGTCGATTACTGGGCGTACGCCTGGAAGAACGACCCCATTGTTTCCGGTCTTATCCCCATGTCTGGAACCTCACTCAGCTTCATCCCAAACACGGCCGAGTACTCGCAGTCCATCTGGTATAATGTTTCCCGCACGATTGGCTGTGGTGGTGCTGGCGACGACTCTACTTCAGTCGTAGCTTGCGTCCGTTCAGCAAATATGTCGGCTATTCTCGCAGCTGCAGCAAAAGTGCCTGGCCTCCCCAGTGTCGGCTTGACGCAGGCGACTTTTCACCCAACTGTTGATAACCAAACAGTCTTTGCGGATTACCAGCAACTCTCTGAAGCCGGTTCTTTTGCGAAGATTCCGCTCCTACTCGGCAACACCGACCACGAAGACGGATGGTACCGCATTTCTGGATGGGCAGCCAAAATAAACTTTACCAATGCCCAGTGGGACTTATTCACTGAGCGTAGCTTCACTTGTCCGACTTCTCTTTCAGCCGCATACCGTGCTCAGTACAACGTCCCTACATGGCGATACAGATACCACGGTGACTGGGACAATCTCCGTCTTTACAACGGCAGCGCAGGTCTCGGACCTCGAGGCAGCGCAGCCTACCACGGATCCGATCTTGGACTCGTCTTTGGCACTGCTCAAGACATCTCTGGTCTTCCCAACAGCCCTACTGAAAACAAGTACACGGACTATGTCCAGGGCGCATGGGCGGCGTTTGCTCGAGACTCAAAGCGTGGATTGACAAAGTATGGCTGGCCGAAATACAAGCCAGGTGAGTTTTATTTGACTGCTCAAAAAAAACGAGATGTATACTAACATCCACAGGTACCGCGTCGCTGGTAGAACTGGCCTATAACAACAGTGTCAAGCCCAACTTTGTCAGTCCGTCGATTTACGATGCAGCGTGTCCTGCGAAGAACGACCCACTGCCTGGCCGAGGGGCATTTTAAGTATCTCTTTTAATCTCTGATATACCAATCAAATTGCATTAGTGAACGCCTGGCATCTTCTCATCACACCCAATCCTCTCATGTCGTCTTTCCACCACAACTTGCACTTTCCCTCCCAATCACACCATGCGAAATTGATGCATTGTCAAAAGAACCAATATCGAAACCCCGTTCCATACTGAGATGGTTACACAGCAGTAAGCACTACCTTGCGTAAGTGGCTTGCGCACTAACGAGACCACACGTGGTGGCGTCCGTTTTTACCCCAGTTCCTCGGGGAAGGGGGGAGGGGGGGTGACCCCTTGCATCCCGTTTCCCTAATATAGCCACTTAAACCACCCTTTCCTCAGCAACGACGCATCACCACGCAGTTGTCAAATCTCTATTCAGCAGAACAAATAACCAAGCATTTTCCTTTTGAGAATTACAAAGTTTCAAAGAACTTGGCAGTTTGTTTTCAATCTGGACAAATGGGAAGCCCAAAAAAAAGTTTCAAGGGTTGGAAAAAAAGTAAATATATTACTATGCACAAGGCAACCCGCCGGGAACTAGAATCCTTTTTTTGTTTCCCCGCACCCGCACACGTTGGACTGCTAGTCCGTTGTGGGCGAATACTGCATGCGCCTCATCGAAGGAATGAGATCCTGACGCGGGGGGGTTGGGAAGCGCAGGTACAAAAAGGCTTCGAGAGGCCCCCCCGCGCGTGGGTTGGCAAGGTGCGGTAAGTGCCCGCGTTACAAGTTACAAAAATTTGCCACGAAGAGAGACGCATAGATACGATTTGAAAATGATGATGAATTTAAGTAGCGCATGGCAATTCAATGCCATTGCGACATCATGGCCTGCAAACGTACTCCCGAATGTAGCTTTCTGGACCGCAAGCAATGGATCGTGGGAATACCAGATTCAGGTTTCCTGGCCACTGAATTGGACTAGTAGTCGCGAGGAAGCGTCGGTGGTGGAAACACTGTACGTTATGCTACAATCCACCCCCTCTTTCCTGCCAATTCGTTCAACAAAACTCACGTGCAATGGCTACATAGGTACATCTTGGACGGCAACGCGCTCGGTCTCACCGCCACCGAGTCTCTGCGTCGACGCCGGCCTGTCGAGTTCAACATGCCGGATTGCATCGTGGTTAGCATCGGGTATCCCGAGACGCTCCCGGACTCGCCGTATAGCAGCCAGCGCAGCTACGATTTCCAACCTCCCGTGTGCGAGGGGTGTCCCGCGCCAGCAGTCCCAGGCGTGCCTTCGAATGCAGATGGCTTTATCGAGTTCATCGATACAGCGCTGCGACCTTGGATCCAAGGAAGTGCATTCCCGAAAGCGGAATTTGATCGCGATGCATTATATGGACATTCGTTTGGGGGGCTGTTTGTCCTGTATGCACTTACTGTTCGACCGGATTTGTTTGATACGTTTTTGAGTGCGTCGCCAGCGCTAACCTTTAATGATGGGTATGTGTTTAATTATACCGAGTTTCTGGCGCCGCTTGTGACGCCTGGTTCTGCGAATACGATGAACGGGACAAAGCCAGCGTTCCAGATTAGCTATGGGGCGCTGGAGCAGAATCCCGTGCAGAGACGAACGGAGACGGATGACGAGTTTGAATTTAGAAAGGGCATTCTTGTGGCGCAGCAGATGACGACTTTGTCGCGGAAATTGTACAGTGTGCTAGAAGGAAGTCCCGCATTGAGGGATGTCAGTCTTCGCGAGTACCCGTTTAGCGACCATGCTGCTGTTGGGGCGGCGGCACTGGCAGACGGGATTGATTATTTCTTGGACTGGTGTTCGGCAAAGTATTGTTAGGGGTCATGGGGGACTGGGGAGGAGGGGAAGTGCCGTGCGATCTAAATGTGGTTGAGGGTGCGATTGGCAGCGATATGCATGACTGGCCCACTTGTTTTTGGGACGGCGCTGGTGTGCTCATTAAAGACGGCATGTCAGGAGGTTTGGCGTGGGTTGGTGTGTAGCTTACATGCACCTCATCTGACTTGTCAACCTTGGTTGAATGCTGATCCCCACATGTGGTTCATACAGTACGGTGAGATGGGTGCTGGTATGGCGTGAATCTTGAAGACGTTATCGTTAGACACATGGTCAATCAGACGCAGATCAACAGATGCCACTCAGCACATGTGAATGAAAGCCCTGATAAGCTCACTTGGGCCAAGACTGCGGTACGGCTGATTGCTGGTGGAGAGGAGCATCCCGCATATCCGGCAAAGCGTCCGAGACCCTTTTGCTGTTCATCCACCGGTGTACCTTGTCGTGTCCTCGGTCCCCCTGTCAGGTGTACCATGACGTTTGCATGATGACAAGAGCACCATGGTAGCCTACAATGCTACCTTCTGACTCGCTGCGTGCTTTTGGGTGTGCAGATGGGCGTGTGTACTTGGGTGTACTGCCAGCTCAACTCCACGTTCCGCGTTAAGCGGTGACAACGTCGACGATTAGGATGAATGCAGTATCTTGTGCATCCAAACTCTGCCAAATGGGTACTTGGCCGGGCTAGTTGCCTGTTTGGAAGGGTGATGAGTACGTGCCTGACCGCCTGGGTCGACGTCGTGGGGTTGTCAGTACCGGGGCCATGTGAGACGGCGGCCAGTGTACGGGTAGGTAGTGAGTGGTGGAATGGATTGACGCCACCATGAGTGGTTTGAAGGCGACGACGGCGCACGTCTCTGGCACAGCAACGGAGAGATTCAGGGTGGGATAGGGCGTGGCAGAGGTGGACTCATTCCACCGCTCATTGCGCCCAAGGTGGATGAGACGATGCGGGCAGAGACCGGCGGGCGGCGCCATTGGGTGGCGCCGGTGGGGGCGTGGGACCCGCCGGGCGCAAGAGGCTCAACGGATGTTTGAGCAGCGCAGAAAAAGATTTCGCCTAGCACTTCCCGGCCCACTCTACGTCATCTTGAGGGAAGAGAAGATGAATCCCCCCAGGTACCATGAATCCATATCAAAACCACTCGGGCGCCTGCACCCAACCAACCCGCACGCCCATCTCCCCGCTGGACGGCCTCTTCCTGCTCGGCCATCAACCACAGCCATAGACATAGCCATCGACATCGATATTTACCCATACACACATCCACCACCGCCACCATGCAGCGCACACACACTACCGAGAGCATGCGAGTGCCATTCTCCAACATCTCCACCCTCAACATGAACAAGGCCCCGCGTCCAGGCATTGAACGCGCTCCCACATCCACCAACCTCACCCGTCCGATGCCCATCCAACGCCTCGAGGGCAAGGTCGTCATGATCACGGGCGGCGGCGGCAAAGTCGGTGTTGAATCTGCCGGCCGCCTGCTCATCGAAGGCTGCAACGTCGCCCTCATCGACATTGAACAAACAGCCCTCGAGGCCGCCGTGCCCGTCCTCAAAGCCGCCATCCCCACCGGCGTACCCATTGAATCACGTCTCCTTACCATTGTTGCCGATGCCACCAAGGAAGCCGACGTCGAAGCCTGCGCCAAGAAGGTCGTCCAGCGCTTCAACAAGCTCGATGCCGCCCTATTGAACTGCTGCCAGCGCGGTGCCTCAAAGAGCATTTTCGACGTTACCGAAGACGACTTTGATCGTATCATGACTATCAACGCAAAGTCTGGTATGTCTTTTTCATGTCCTTTGCAATCAAATTACCCAAAAGCTAACTCCCAATCAAGCTTTCCTTGGCGTCAAATACGCAGCAACGGCCATGCAAACCACATCCGGCAGCGGCTCCATCATCATCCGCTCCTCCATCGCCGGTCTACGCGGCTTCCCCAACCTCATCTCCTACAGCGCCTCCAAATTCGCTCTCCGCGGCATTGCCCTCACCGCCGCTGAGGAACTCGGTCCCCTCGGTATCCGCGTCAACACTATCCACACGAGCATTATTGAGACGCCGGGTTACAAAGATGGCTGGAGCAAGGAGAAGTTGGCGGAGCTGAAGGAGGAGACGGCGCTCGATCGCTTCAGTAGCCCCGACGATGTAGCGAGTGTAGTGGCTTTCTTGGTTAGTGAGGATAGCAAGTTTATGACGGGTGGACACTTGAAGATTGATGGTGGTTGTGTTGCTGTCTAAGAGATGGGATGTGTATGCGAGTGGGGGGGTTCTTTTTTTCAACGACATGACTGAGGTAGTGGGGACGCGATGAATGATTTTGCATGAATGGAGTTTGGGATTCGGCCCGCTGTGGCTTTTTTGGGTTTCTCTTCTATGCATTATGGTAGCATGGTTTTTTTGTATATATCAAACGTGCTAGGTTGGATTGGCGGTTGCTGTTGGGTCTTGGGTCACATGGGAAGAATGGATAGAGGTGATGCAAGTATAGAATGAATCTTGACTATATCTTGGTCAAGTAGCTGGATGAATATCTAGTTTAACCAATCACGACTTGTCTTTGTGGGTGCTTACCTGCTTCAACTTGTGCAATTATGAGCTAGATTGTAATCATTTGTACTAAAGTTCCATCAAGAAGAACATGCAATGCACATGTGTGTCTAGAGAAGATAGCCAAAAGGAGCTTGGATTACTGTACAATAAACGACCATTAGACTACCTCGATGGCGCATGCTGGTCCTGTAGCATTGTAAGCATCGCAACGACGCTCAGGGCAGTGGAAAGGACTAGAAGTTAGCATCTTTATTTCAAGTTGAAAAGATACGAAGAACCGAGGAAGAAGGGGAGGATGGAAAAAGCCTTTCTGAACAGCCACAGGTTCCATTTGCTCATATGCCAGTTGGGGTTGATGGTTGAGTTGAGGTTGTGGTAGCGGCGGGGTGGTCGCCGAAAGGGGATTGGCAGCCGCTACTGTAGTAGTGGTCGGATGTGTTTCCTATAGCAAGGGAATCATGTCAATGTGATGGGTCTTTTGAGGTGTGAGACAAGGAAAAAGGTTCGTACCGCAATATTCAGAGCTGCTACCGCAGTTTCGAAGCCACTGTTCTTGCACTTGTATTGGTTTTTGTCATATCCTAGGGGGAGGGGAATGTCAGTGAGCATTCTACAGCTTGTTTCACGATGTGAACTTAAACGTGCCGTCGAGCGAGGTTTCGGGACTTGTGCATGTGCCCAATGCTGACCGACATCCTGATGTTGCCTAGTAGCCAAAATCAGTAACTTTCTTTTTTTTTCCCTTTTACAGAGACCCGTACCATGACCTGTAGTTGTTTCCACAGTATCCCGAAGACAAACAACAATCCCGACACGTAGAACCTTTGCATACGAATTTGTTTGTTTTACTGTACTGAGACGAGAGCGATATAGTCTACTCATTTCTCCGCTGTTCTCCCAGCGCGGTGTTGAATCGATAGAGGTCAGCTAGGCAGATACAAGGCAAATGTCAGGTACATGGTCGCAATTACACAAGTGAAATTCCCCCAAGCCTGTGTCTGTAAGGAAGTATGTACCAACGAGTCAAGAATCGATAGTTTGTACAATCCTGAACATTCACTGTAAAACGATGTAGTATCATGGAGCCAGTCCTATTGCTAGTAGCCCCTAATGCAGTGCAGCTTTCCATAACGGGGTTATTATGGCGGCAAAAGACATGTACGGCAATGCATGCCAAAATCGGGCGAGAAAAGTACGCCGTGGAGGATGATGGCTTACTAACGGATTAAGGAGAGTTATCCTGGCAGGGCAATTTTTGTTTTGAGCCGGTTTTTTATAGGCTAGTTTTTACTTTTCGTACATGGGTGTTGATTAAGGTCTATTTAAAAAACCAGTGTCAATGAGATGGTATGCCATTTTTCTTTGCTCCTGTAGCTTATTGATCTCTGCCCTCACCTGTGTCGCCAAACAGGCAAGCAGACGCAAGGATTTCCGGTGGTGGGGGGACGAAAACAGGACTTAACAAACCGATATGGTAGGCAAAAAAAAATACGAGTTACATAAACTTACTGCTGACTACTTTTCTTGCACTGCGTTCAAGCCACGTTGGCATTAAAAAATACACAGAACTGCGTCCACGTATTTGTACATTTTATCCTCAAGCATCCATCAAACTACACGCTAAATCCTTAATCTTCAACTTTGCCCCCATGGATCCTAACCTTCCTGCGACAGAAGAATACGATGAGGACCAGGATCAAGTTTGACAAGATCTACTCAGTCGTCTACACTGGAACGTTTTCGGCCCCCCCCCATTTCGATACACGACTTTGTCACTCACGTCCACCCTTTTCTGAACGCCCACAAGCAAGGCATTTCCCAGTGCGAAGACGAGGTCGAGCGGAGTGTGAAGGTTGCGACGAGGGCTGTGAGTGGAAGATTGATGGTGACTTATGGAAAGAAGACTGTTAATGCCGATGAATTCGAAGTATGCGACGTTACCATTTCGTCTTTAGATTATCTGTCGGAAACCCTAGAAGTTTTTTTTTCTTCGTTTGTTCTAGACGAGATAAAATCTCCACCCCCCCTCCCCCGCTTTTTCTTATTTATTAGAAAAGTTGCCGTTGTTAACAAGTAAGGTGATGGTTGTTATCACCACTTATACGATATTAAAGGCAATTGTTCGAGTGAGGAGGATAACGGGGGTTGGAACTTGAATGATATCTTGATAAGATGGGAAAGTCCATGTAGAGGAATGTACGGCTACGCACGTGACCAGAAGTAACTTAGCGCCTAACTATAGAGTTTTTTAAGGGTCTGTCAGATTATTAGCTTATTTGTACCCCGAGTTATCACGACAAAGTGTTGGTCGTAAGATTGCTTTGACTTGCCTGTTCTGGTTTACTTTTACTTCCTTGTAGCCATTACAAGGGCTTTTTACTCCATCAACTCAAGAAAAGCAAGAGAAAAAAACAACAACAAACCATGATGAAAAATGTTATTATTCCTATATCCAGCAAAACAGTGCATTTAACTCAAGGTTTCCTGTATCCAACAGGTCTTATTGATATTCTCTCTCTTCCTGAACCCACTTCCTCTTATACAATTAGAACAAGAGAAGAAGAGAAGAAAGAAGGCCGTCTATCAAAACAAATAATGTAACAAACTACCCCGCAAAAAAAACCTTCTATTCGACAATCTCAAGCTCGCCAGTCCTGTTTCTCGCAAAAGTATCCTTGTGCTCATTCCATATACGCATCAGCTCATCGACATACTGCTGGTGCACCTGGTCAATGTAGTCATTGTTGGGATGCTCATTCTGTACGACCCTGATTGGACGTCCAACAACAATGTTGATGGGTCGACGATAAGGCATCATGCCAACATCGTAGTTGAAAACGCCTCGAGCGTGGAAGATGGGCACGGTGAAACCCATAAACTTCTTGATTAGCAGCTGGAACTTGTGGATGTACGGATGCGACTCGGTGTCGACTTGGTCGTAAATGTCGTTCTCGCCAAAGGACAGGACGGGGACAAGGTCAGCACCAGTACGAATGGCTAGTTTGACGAAGCCTTTGCGGCGACGGAGGACGAGCTTGATTTCACCGGGGCGAGCGTCGAGAGATTCGGCAGCGCCGCCAACGACAATGGTAATGGCACGCCCCATGCCTTCGCCATTCTGGCCACCCTTGGACAAGATGTTCTCGCAAGACTCACGAGACACGGAGGCCATGCCAAGACGGAGCGCATACTCGCGGTAGATTGGGTAGCGGAAGTTGGAGTCGAGAGTCAACAGGGTGTTTGTGATACCGGGAAACAGCTGCGAGAAGCCCAGGGCTTCCGTGGCAAAAGCAGCAAAGGCGCCGTGTGAGATGATACCGTGCGGATGGTAGCCGAAAATATACTTTCTCGTTGGTTCCAGCTCCTGTGACCGGTGAAGACGGGCAGGGAAGTAGGATGCAAAGAGCGACCAGACGGGGAGTCGTCGGAACCATTCACTCCGCAGGGAAAGCTCTCCGGAAGTGCCAGCATCCGAGAAGAGGACGTAGACGGTGTATGGGAGTAGGATGGGCCAGAGCAGCGGTATGCTGCAGAGGAAGAAGAAGATGGCGAGACTTCCGACAATGCTGAGCGTGTGCATGAGTACAGCGAGGGTCTGCAGACGGCGCTGCAAGGGTACATTCATGGGGGCAAACCGTATTCTGAAGCCGTCAGCACTGTATATCATGGTAGTGAATGGGTGCTCGTGTCGACCTACTTGCTCTTGGACCATGATGCGCCGGCTTGCCGTCCCGCCGTGAGCTCCGAATCTCTGCGCTTGAGGTCGGTTCGTCGGTCTTGCGGGGGAAGCTCGCTCTCCTGTGAGGGTTTCACAGTGGTTAGCGCATTGCCATTACCATTAACATGCCTCTCAATCATGTCTTTGGGCAGCTGGGTATCCTGGGTGCTCTTCGATGATTTGTGGGAGCTGCGCGACGACACACGGCGATGGCCTCGCGCTGTTGGGCTTTTTGGAGAGCCGTCCTGGCCAATGCCTTCGTGCGACGTCTGTTCCTCGTCCGAGGCAGCATGGATGCCATTGGTCTTTACCTCGTCACTCCTGCCCTCACCGTTGACATGTGATTGTGGGCCCGACTCGAGAGCCTCTTCGGCAGCGTCAGCATACGACTTGGGCGGCAGGTTGTGCTCCGCGCGCTCCTCTGGCGCCGACGGCTCAGGGTTAAGAGACATGGCGGGTAGCAATGTACGGGGGAAGAAGTGAGCTGAATATGAGCAGTGTGTCTGAAGACTTGTCAGGACGTGTCTGGGGTTTTGTTGGGTGACATGTGTGACATAGCGCGCCTGGAAGCCTTCCTGACATTCCGCGTGGAAATGACGTTGGACTGTGGCTGCGGCAGCCCCAGCCCGACGCCACGACAAATCCGGACCGGCGGCAGCGTCGATCATCCACGGTACATCGCGCCATCGTATGTACAACCAGACTGTTTGATTTGGTAGAGGTATACCGTCATGTTTGCATGCAAATAGTTGGGACAAATAGTCTGAGTCGTAAATGTCAAAAATTGGGCTATACGTATGAATAGATAGATCCAGCAACTATGTAGACCTGTGGCGCATGCTAATTGAGACTTCAACTCCACCGATTTGCCACTCCCTGATTCGTCCATTTGAAAGCATGCTCTTATCTGAGTAACAGTACCTCCCTCTTACCTTGGCCCTCCTATACAAAAGACTCTTTCTATCAGACGAGTCCTCGTTCTCACCAACCCATCTAGACATGCGACCGTGTCAAGCAGATTAGACAGGCACCAACACCACAATGTCCCTCCACGCCACCCCAGCCTACTCATCCCGCATAACAAGACCAAGACGAAGATCCGGACTGGCAGCCCTAGGCCTAAAGCGCAAGACACCCTCTCCTTCAAACCCAACCCCAAAACAACTCTCCTTATCATCTGAGCCCTCAGCCTACAACGACGACCAACCCCCCTCTCTACTCACAGACCTCAAGTTATGCGATATCCCGCAGACCATAACTTCCATCCACACCCACACATTCTCCCCTCTCCCCACATCCCCCTCCCTCTCCTCCACCCTCACATCCCGTATCCTCAACCACCGCCTCCGCCTCCCACCTTTCATCTCTCTCGCACATCTACACGCCATATCCGCCTCTGCCACCAGCGTCGACCGCGAGATATCTTTGCTGGTGAGCACCGGCGTACTGCGGCGTGTCGTAATACCTCACCGCGCCGCATCTGGTATCGGCGAAGGCGTAGTCTGCGTTCGAGAATGGCAGCGACTTATTCAGGAGAACAGTGAAGTACCAGCAGAGTTGAAAGGTATGTCACATTTTTTTCTTCTTCTCATCCGTAGTTTGAAATACAAACCCCCCCCCCAAAAAAAGATAAAAGAGAATAAAGAAAACGGAGGAGAAGAATAAACATAGCTCACAATGAAATGTATAGAAAAATACACGACTTCTCTCGCCTCACCTCGCTCAGCGCTAGATTTCGCACCCAAAGAACGCGAGATACTCCTTTCAACGGGGTTCCTGACATGCGACGCCACGGCGCCAAACGCGACGTACACATTGTCGCTCCCGAATATGGGCTTGTATGTCAAACTAGTATCAGACGCACGTAGCCACCTTGTCAAGCTGGTTAAGCAAAACGCACACGGGACGATGCCGCTGTGCGATGTAGCCGAGCGCTGGAACGGCGGCGTCATTGAAGAGGGGGATGTGCAGGCTGAGGGCAAAAAAGTGCGGGGAGAGTTCCAGGGCGTGCTGCCTGGACGGACGAAGCGGTGGAAGCGGTTTTATGGGATGAGGGTTGAGTGGGTGGTGGAAGAGTGTGTGGGGGCGGGGTTGGTCGAGGTGTTTGAGACGGGGAGTGTGGGAAGGGGAGTGAGGGTTGTGAGGTAGGAAGGCGCGGAGGGGATGGTGGGAAAATGCGTCGTAGTGTATTTGGAGAGGAATTTGCTGTTTTGCTTGACAAGATGTTGGAAGGCCGGCATGTATGGGAGTGGACAGGCGTAGTGAGAGTTGGTGGATTTGGACTGTGAAAGTGGATGAATACAGGGGATACGTATGCAAACTCATGAAGAAATGTTGAATTTCAATTGCATGTGAACATTGGTGAGCTTCTGAGAATCAAGCACAGAAATTGGAAGACACTTGTTAATATTGACTTGCCCAAAAGGGTGATATTCACGCCGCTGTCTTCATTGACAAAAACTTACTTTGATCCCATGCTACCATATTTGAGACAACCATCAACTTCACAGATACGTACCGAGTGTGATAAAGAGGCGAGCAAGGATGGTCAAAAGCAGCAAGGATGCATCAATATCCGGATGATAAGCTTGATGACGACCAAAAGTCTCTCCAAGACCCATGCAAGCGTCATGAATAAATTGCGCAATGATAGCGTGCACAAGGGGCCAGAAGTGGAAAGTTTCGAAGAGGTCACGATATATCCAGAAGCTCACGGAACCCGAGAGGCCGTAGATCTAGATGCATCTGGGCCAAACCTTGACGGACTATCCAAAGATGATATTGGACGCCGCGAAGCAGCAGCAGCAGTAGTAGTAAGTAGTTCTAGCGAATGGCTTACTCGAGGCATGCTGTTAATTAATCGCTCAGAGGTAAGAAGGGGACGGCAGAGTAAGCGTGTTTTGAACCCCCGAGTGCGTTCGTGTGCGTTGCAGGTCAAGGCGGAATGTTCATGCCGGTAGTTGAAGGGTAGTACGGAGCAAGCTAGGTTGACCGTTGTTGGACTTCATCTGTGCCAAACAGTGTGTGTGAGAGAGCAGCGTCGGCAACCGCTTGCGTGGGCGGTCCCGCAGTCCGTTTCAGCGGAATCCCCAGGTCATGGGCACGTATTGCACTTGATCTTGTTATGTATACTAGGGCGGACTTATCGCGCATCTGGGCCAAGAGTCGAGCGGCCAGGTGGGCTCGATCGGATTGGCGTGTGCCGTTTCGATATTATGAGAGTGCCCATGTTCTTATCGAGTTGCGCAAGGTCCCCTGGGGAAGACAGGGGAGGGGAGGGGAGCTAGCTGGGCCCAGGCCGTTGCCAAGAAGTCCAGATCTGCGGCCATTCCTTCCGTTCGAGCAAGGGTGTCGCATGTCGTCATTAGGATCAGAGGGTGCAAAGGAACGTCGGCATTGATATTGTCGATATCAAAGAACTTGTACGGTGCTCTGCCTGATACCTAAGGCTGGCGAGTGCCATGTGTGAACAGGCCTGCAGATGAGTGCATCCGAAAAACATGGGTGTGGTGCATGGTCAGCTCAGTCAGTAGTACAAGAGGGCCAAGTTGCGCGGATCAGTCTTCTAGCGCAGGCTGTGAGATGGCTGGCATGCACGTTGCTTGTGCGTGGGCTTTGCTTTCAGTCAGCCTGTGGATGCGAGCACTATTGCCATGTGTGTAAATTTACCGAGGATGCAGGAAGAAGAGATGGAGCGTGCTTGTCCGGCAAATGATTTTTTTTGCCAGACGTGTGATCAGGATACGCGTCCGACGAAGCCGAAGGGTGGGTCCATTCTGTGTAAAGATCGAGGGGAAGCCTGAACTGCGATTTTGACAACGCTGGCGCGGTGGTCTAGACGCTGCAGGGACAGCCTCAGTGGTGTGGGCTTGTGAGAAAGGGTTTTAGCTGCGGTGAATAGGGCGTGTGTTAGTGACAGGTTGCGGGCGGATACGGGTAGATGTGATGTTTGGTGGCAGCTCTGACAACGGTGGTGCTCATGTGTTGGGGCAGATGCGAGACGGCGCGCCTGGCGGGTGGTATAGGAGGGCATGTGGGCAAGCAGCGAGTCCATGTGCTTGTGTGTAGTAGTGTAGTAGGATGTGGTAGTCAGGGGGGTAAGTACACACACTACACGTCAAGAGAAGGAAGAAACAGAAGCAAAGAAGGTGGCCTTGCTGGAGCGGTGCCTGGCGGCCTGGTCCCGGACGAGCAACGATCAGCAGAGCTGACGAGCGGCGTGCACATCATTACTCGAGTCGGGCGTGGTTCACGATTGCAGTGCCGATCGTGTGCTCGCGTTTGTATCCAAGCAAGTACGTACGCACACATGGATGGCTGGTGCGACGGGTTCCCAAACGTGCGGGTGGCGACGACTGGAGCGTGAAACACGCACGACGTGAGTAGAGAGGAGAGTGGAAAAGCACCATGTAACATAAGACGGGCGTGTGTGGAGGGAGGCGTCTCTCTGCACACACACACACACACACACTAGCAGCGAAGCAACCAGCAAAGTCAGGCCAAGTGCCAGGCAAGGCAACGCAAGCACCTGGCTGGCCGCAGCGGGACTAGGGCTGATTGGCCGCCCAAGACGGCTAGCGCAGGGAAATAAGGGCAGCAAAGGGCCGACCACGCCATGCCCAGGCCTGGACCTGGAGATGACACGTTCATGGTCGCTCCAGAGGCCGCCGCCGCCCATGCAACAACGACTGCGAGAAAAGTGAAGCGGGCCCTGTGTCGAGGCAGGCTCACGAGGGGCGGTGTGGTGCAGCAGCAGTAGCAGTGGTGGAGACTCGCTTCATGCAAGACTCCACGGACAATGGGTGGTGGTGGTGAAGGAGAAGGTCAAGGGCAAGCAACAAAACAGCAGAAGAAAGCAGCAGCAGCGCTAGGTTCGGCTTCGGACGATCGTCGATCTGGCGTCGGGTGTAAGACCAGACGCCAAGCCAGCCAGCCGTATATGGTACCGTTCTTGCTGTACCGCGACCCATCCAGCCTATGTGCTCTGTACGTCTGCATGTAGTGTAAGTACACAGGCGCTGAGGGCCTGCGCGCCCCAAGATGCTGTGCAGCTGCAGCGACCCGCTGACGTCAAGCCCTGTCCGGCCCCATACTTGCACTTAGCACCGTACATACACGAACAGCAGACATGGGCGGGCGAGGCAGCGGGCGAGGCAGCGGGCGAGGCAGGCCCATCAGGCCATGGGGGGTCGAGGCGAGAGGCGAGAGGGGGGCGAGTGGACGGCGACGAGGCGCGCCAGGCACGAGGCAGGCCGGCCGGTTTTGACAGCCACCAGACGGCAGGCCATGACGGCGCCGGCCTGGAGAAGCAGCGGCTGTCTTGGGCCTTGGAGGAATAGCAGCTTGGAGGCAGCATGGAAAAGTTAATTCGCATGCGTTGAGGGCGAGCGGAGGGTGCAGTCGGGCCAGAGCGCAGGGGGCCTACCGGGGTAGCGCTGCGCATCGTGCAGCAGCCGAGAGCATCCAGACTGTTCCAGCAGCCGCGCGCCCCACTCTTCCGCTGACCCAGCCCGGCCGCCTATCACACGCCCGCCTGCGCCGACACGGCCGCACCACCATGAGCCTCTTTGGGTGCTGAGCATCGTCGTGGGAGCCGCGTCCTTATGACTTGCGCCCACACCACGACTGCTCGCCGCCAGCCCATGGCGTGCTCCAGCCCTCTGTTCCCACCACGACACACTAGCACTAGCCACCGATAACACCCTCTCCCTCACACTCACACACACACACCCTTCCCCTCTGCCGGCTTGGAGGGCGCAAGGACGCTTGCAAAGCCACCGCCCCGGGTCGCGTTCTAGATCGCCCGCCGCCCGCCCGCCCTCTTATGTGCGACTCTGCTAGCACACATGCCCTTCCCCAAACCACCCGGCCCAAACCAACCACATTGCTCCGCTGCGCTGCCTGGCCTGCACCGACTGGCCCGTCCATCCATCCGCCGTCCGTCGCGCCTTCCCTCTCCCACTGTCTGTCTGTCTGTCTGTGTCCGGTCGCTCTTGCTGTTGCTGTCCCGCACTCCACTTACTCACCCACGCATCCACTCACATCCACTCACGCCCACTCACACCCACTCACGCCCACCTGCACCTGCACCTGCACCTGTACTTGCCTGCTGCTTACTCTACACCACCTGCTTGCACTGCTCTCGTCCCGTCCCTGCTGCAATCCCTCCTGCCCGGCCTTGCATCGCCCCTTCCCTTACTAATCCCTTCCCGACTCCCTCTGCAGCCCTCTGCACTCGTCGCTGCTAGGCCAGCGTCCTGCACTCTGCAAGCGGTCCGCGCTCCTCGTCGGCTGCCCCATCCACTCGTCATTGCCTCTGACCACCACCCCGGCACCCACCCCCCGGAGCCCCGTTCCCACAGCAGCCTGGATGGATTTCTGAAGCCATGGGGGAACCTACTACCATCCCACCCGATATAATCGAGCGGCAGTCCCTCTGCTTCTCCCGCCCACTCCCCGGCATGGTCGTGCAACACGGCGTACAGGGCTTCAAGGACGAACTGTCACGCCTCTTCGACCCCGCTGAGAGCAACGCCGCCGAGCAGCTCGTCCGCCTCAAGGAATCCCTTCGCCTCGCCGACACCGACAGCTTCTGGATGCAACTCACCCGTGGCCTTGCCCAAATCGCCGATGCCCAGTATGCCTTTGTCTCAAAGCGGATCCTCGTCGACGACAAGAACGTTGCCGTCGAGCTGCCCCCCATTGGAGAGCCTGGTGCCTGTCTCATGGGCGAAGCCTTTTACATCAACGACGACCACGGCAACGGCCCGGGCCACCTGCGCAACTTCAAGTACCATGCCTACCAGTGCCCGTGTGCCTACATGAAGCACGACAAGGTCTTCATCATTCCCGAGAAACTCAACGACTTCATCGTCAACAACCCAAACGACCTCATCATCCCCGGAGAAGCCTACCTAGGAATCCCCCTCTTCGCTCAAGGTAAATGCTTTGCCCACTTTGGTGTCATGTGGGGGAAAGAGGGGGCTGAGCGACGTGTTTTGAGCTGGGGTTTTCTGGAAATGATGATGCACAGCCTCGAAGACATGATTCTGGAACGCGTGCTCGAAGGCAACGAGTTTGCCAGCGCTGCACAGCCAGTCGACGCCGAGGTTCCCAAGATTGTCCCCCACAAGGCTGTCTCGATTGCC